AGAGGGTAGAGCTGGGGCTCTATTCACCAGGGCCGGGCATCCAACACAGGAACTTTATCTTTAGAGAGGGCCTCGTGTAGCTTTGGCAGGCCCAGAACTGCTGATATAGCCCAGGCTGAGCTCAAACTCGGAGATCCCCCTGCCTATTTCTCAAGTGCTGGGATTAAAGCCTGTGCCAGCACAACCCAGCCTGAACCTTGCCTTTCTTTTCTCCCTTTCAAAGATTTATTTGTTTATTTTGTGTGTGTGTGCACTGGACTACAGCATGTTTGCAAAAGTCAGAAGACAATATGAAGGAATCGATTTTCTCTTACTTAGGGGGTCTGAGGATTGAACTCAGGTCGACAGACTTAGCAGCAAGTACCTTTACTGGCTGAGCCATTTCAAAGCTCCCCTTTCTTTCTTTTCTTTTTCTTTCTTTTTTTTTTTAATGGGGTTAAGTTTGCAGCCCAGGCTGGCCATCCTCCTCCCTGAGTCTCCCGAGCAAGCGCTGGGATCACTGGATGGTTGTGCCCTGCCCAACTAGAAATACTCCTTGTCCTCTTCTGGGTGCAGAGGGAGCAATCAATCTCGGATCTCAGTGACACGCAATGTCCACCCTGTTGTCACCTTGCAGATTCTTAAGAGTGATGTTGGCCTCTGCCTGTTGGGCTTCCAGGCCTTGAACATCCCAAAGCCTGCAGGACCCCTCTGGATCCTCGGAGACGTCTTTTTGGGGCCCTACGTGGCTGTCTTTGACAGAGGGGACAAAAACGTCGGCCCGCGCGTGGGTTTGGCGCGTGCTCAATCTCGTGCAAGTGTATCCGCAGGAACAAGGGCTGCGCAGGCGCAGTTTCTCAGAGGACGCTCCGGTTAGGGAACATGCATGCTGGGTCAGAGGTCGTGCTTCTTTCCAATTAAAAAAAAAATCCGCTTTCAATTAAAGGAACCCACTGTAGTCGCTTTCGGGAAGGGAAAATGGATGTCTGACCTCTGGAGTTGAAAATATGGGAGGGAAGGAAGTATCCTATTCTGCAGTCTTTGCGCCAGCGATAGGTCCGGGAACAACAGTCCCCATGAAGCCTCGGACCCCCACTGCCCGTAGCGAAAGGCCCGTGCACTGCGGAGCATCACTGATTTTGTAGTTCTCTCCTTGTTGGTGTCCAGAAGTGAGGGAGGCGACAAGTTGCAGTAACAGGTGGCCGCGGAGGTGACACCAGCAAAAGGTTTGTTGTAAGGAGAAAGGTCACCATCCTGCGGATCTTGTGTGTCCAGAGCCCCTGGGTCTGTCATAAAGGCGCACCTTGAAGACCCCCGGTTGTGGGAAGAAGGGGCTGTCCCTCCTCAGGTGCTGATGTCACAGCGCCCATCCGCAGTCCCTCGCTGCCCAAAGGTGCCTGATCCGGGCCACCCGTCCCCAACCACCAGACCCCTGGACTTGGGGTGAGTGTGAGGAAGGGGGCAGAGGCTCAAGTGTGGGGGTGGGAAGAAGCTCTACAGCTTAGCGTGTGAGACAGGGAACCAAAGGTTGCAAGGGAAGGATCCTCTGGATTTGGAGCTTGGGGAAGGTTGCAGGTTACTTGTGTGGGTTTTTATTATTATTATTTTGTATGGTTGGTTGCTTTTGGTTTTTCGAGACAGGATTACTCAGTGTAGCCCTGGCTGGAACTCTGTAGAACAGGCTGGCCTCGAATTCGGAGACTCACCTGTCTCTGCCTGTGTGTGTGTGAAGCATAAGCAGCGACTCTGTCCTCAATCTTGGCTTCACTGGATTTTCCAGTGATGAGATGGGAGGTAAGAGGCGGAGAAAAAGTAATCTTAGAAGTTTGCTTGGCCTTGGGAATAAGGGGAGGGACAGAGAGCAGGAGGGGTTGCTGGGGCGACGGAGGATGTCTGGGGGAAAGGGTAAGAGTAGATGAGGTGGACTGGGACTGAGAAAAGAATTTCCCAGAAGAGGCCAAGCACCCTTCCGGCATTCCCTCAACTCGGTTTTATCTTCTCCCCTCTGGACACCCCATCCAGTCCATGGTCAAAGGGTGGTGAGTCTCTATTGACCCATCCCTCTCCCCACGCCCTGGGGAATGTGGTAGCCCTTTTCTTTTGGGCCAACAACCAGCACCCAAGTCATGATGTGGAGACTTAATATTAGTTATGAAAGCTTGGCCTTATCTTATGCTTGTCCCACCAGCTCTTACAATTTAAATTAACCTGTTTCTCTTCATCCACGTTTTGCCATGGGGCGTTTTACCTTTCTTTCATTCTGTGCGTCCTACTTTCCTGCTTCCTCTATGTCTGTCTGGCAGTTGACTGGCTGGCCCAGGTCTCTCCCTCTCTTCTTTCCCAAGCCTAGATTCCTCCTTCTACTTATTCTGTCTGCTCACCAGCCCTGCCTTTCCCTGTACTGCCTAGCTATTGGCTGTTCAGCTTTTATTAGATCAGTTGCCTTAGCCAGGCAAGGTGAAAGAAACAGAAACACATCTTTACATAATTAAACAAATGCACCATAAACAAAGGTAGCACATCTTTGCCCAGTCAAACAAATATTCCACAACAGGCCTTAAAGTTACCCAGGTTTCCTGGGCTCCAGAGTTTCAAACCATTGCCTGCTCTTTATCCCCACCTCTAACCCCATAATCTTCTCTCTGTTTCCTCCTCCTTACCCCGCTTCTGACCTCTGGGGAAATAAGCAAAACAAAACACTGGTTTATTTGGTAACAGAAAGTCAGGGTAGAGAGAGACTGAGGATTGCAATTTAGGTCTTTGTGTCAGTTTATACTTCCAACCCCTAATGCATACCCAAACCCTGGGCCAGCCTGCAACCCTGTCCCCAGCTGACCTGGGACCCACCCTTCACAGCAAATCACTGCTTCTCTTTGTAACATGCCGGAATTAGGGGTATATAGTGGGTAGTAAGTGGAACGGGCAGAGTCTTGAAGGCTCCAGAGGATGGGGACTTCAGGGTCTGGGGCAGGTGAGGACTCACTCCTGGGACATGCCCACTCTACAATGACTCAGACTCAACTGCTGCCAAGATGGGGGATTTGACTGAGATGGAGAGCGCAGAGGCAGAGGAACCAAGACCCAGCAGAAGAGGGCGACAGAGACCCAGAGAGAGGGACCAAAACAGACCTGAGGCAGAGAGGAACCAAGACCCAAGGAGAGAGGGCGATAGAGCCTCAGAAAGTGAGACGGGGTGGGGTGGGGCACAGACCCAAAGGGGAAGAGATAGAGACCTAGAGAGAAAGGGACAAAGAGCTAGAGAAAGAAGGACTGAGACCAGAGAGGGAGACAAAGCCCCAAAGAGAAAGGATGAGACCCTCACACAGAGACAGGCAGAGGCCAAGGAACAGACACTTGAGAAACCAGATTCCCAGAGCGGTGCGGGCAGGTGGGAGAACACTCAGAGACAACGGAGAAAAGGTGACAGAGACACTTAAGCGGGAACGGGGCTTGGGATGAGAATACGAACCCGCGTGGCGCCTGCAGAGGGAGGCGATGAGCCAGCGCCAGCGCCAGCTCCCGACCCGCCCTCTTCGCTCTCGCTGGCGCCTCCTCCCGCCGCAGCCCGCGCCGCAGCCACGGCACTTGCAAACGGCCGGCCCGGCGCCGAGGACCGCCCAGCAGGCGGAGCGCACCAACTCGGAGGTGTGCGGTCTCTAGTCCGGCGCCTCCCTCCAAGCTTCATAACCCCACCCCTTCCCATTGGCCCGCCTATCCTAGAGGCAGAGAAGCTAGCTGTCGGTGGCTCTCCTGGCTGCGCTCCTCTGTGCTTGTACGGGCGCACACTCCTTTACCCATCTCTTGGCCCTCCTGTCCGCAATATTTGTGGTTTAGGACTCATTCCCTTTCCTTCACCAGCTGGAAACTTTTCCCCAAGGCCTCGTGGACCACCTCCCTGGGGCTCTGATACGGAATCCGTCCGTTCTAGCCCTGGCCCCCACCCCCGTGTCCAGAGAAGCAATGTCTTTCCCCTAACAGGTGTCTCATTTCCTGTTCTCCATCTCATCAGCCTGGCGGCTCCTGGAGCTCTGAATGCTCATTTTTAACGCCCCACTTCGCCATCCATTTATTGGTCTCATCTTCCTCTGGACCGTTGAGGATGTTTCCAACCCCTTGTAGATCCCACCCATCTGCCTTCCCATCCACGGGATCCTCTTCCTAACGAAGTCCAAGTTTGCGACCTCCAGCAGAACCTGATGGTGCACGTCTATCATTCCAGCTACGGGAGGCTGAGGCAGAGGCAGGATAGCAAACCCGAGGCCTCTCTGGACTCTACAGCTTGCAGATCTTCCATCCAGAAGATCCCAGGCCTCTCCTTCCCCCTCCCCCCCCCCCGCCGTCCCAGTGTCTGTCCTTCGCCTTTTTCCTGTCAGTTATTTATTTATTTAATAAGGTTCCATCTCCATCTCCAGTCTGTCCGTCCCTGTCCCCCAAGTGAGACCCTTCCCCTCATTGTCCTGGCCCAATAAAGACTGTGATTAATTTCTTAGGCTTCCAGTCACTGTTAACCTAACCAAATCCTTCCCTGTTTATTTGCTTTTCCAGTACTGCCAAGACTTTAGGCCAGTGACCAGTTTGGTTTCTTTTTGTCAGCTTCTCCTACTGTGAATTTTTTTTTTTCCCCTTTTCTGAGGTAGAATCTCATGTCACCCAGGCTGGACTCCAATCTCACTCTGTAGCATGACCTTGAACTCCTGATCCCTCTGTCTCCACCTCATCTGTTTCTCATACCTGGCTCCTAGGTCTCCATTTTCGCTGTGCTGCTGAGTTAGGCATTTTTAGGGTTCCCTTGACGCCCCGCCTCTTGTAGGTACCACCAAATCCCTGAGCCTTCTGTGCAGCTCCACCTCGCTGGATCGGAGTCCGTCTAGCTGTGACCCCGCCCAGCCCCTCAGCCCAATCAGCTCTTGTCCTCCCTGCACCTACCCAATCGCGCCCTCTTCATCCATTCATCGGCTCCTCTCAGCCAATCACGTTAGCTTTTCCACCAGGACCCCGCCCCCACGGCCCCGCCCCCGGCCCCGCCTCCCCGTCCAATGCTGAGCTCAGTGTGCGTTTGGTCGTTCCGCGGGCGCCAGGAGGCTGGCGAGCCGCAACCGCAGCCGGCACCAACGCCGCAGCTACTCGAGTCTCCGCCGCCGCCGCTGCATCAGCAGTGCGCACAGCCCGGCCCCGCCGCGTGCCCGGCGGGTGCTCCGCTTTCCCGCGGGCCCGGGGGCCGGCGCGCCGAGCCATGCCCCGGGCTGCCGGCGGTGGCCATGGGGCGGCACGGCGGCGGCGGCGGCGACAGCGGTAAGATCGTGATCAACGTGGGCGGCGTGCGCCATGAGACGTACCGCTCCACGTTGCGCACCCTGCCGGGGACACGGCTGGCCGGGCTGACCGAGCCCGAGGCGGCCGCGCGCTTCGACTACGATCCGGGTACGGACGAGTTCTTCTTTGACCGCCACCCGGGCGTCTTCGCCTACGTGCTCAACTACTACCGCACCGGCAAGCTGCACTGCCCGGCCGACGTGTGCGGGCCGCTCTTCGAGGAGGAGCTGGGCTTCTGGGGCATCGACGAGACGGACGTGGAGGCCTGCTGCTGGATGACCTACCGCCAGCACCGCGACGCCGAGGAGGCACTGGACTCCTTCGAGGCCCCCGACTCCTCGGGCGCCGCCAACTCCTCCAACGCCGGAGGCGCCCACGATGCAGGCCTGGACGACGAGGCAGGCGCCGGAGGCGGCGGGCTGGACGGAGCAGGCGGCGAACTCAAGCGCCTGTGCTTCCAGGACGCGGGCGCCGGGGGACCTGCCGGGGGCGCGGGAGGCGCGGGCGGCACGTGGTGGCGGCGCTGGCAGCCCCGCGTGTGGGCGCTTTTCGAGGACCCCTACTCGTCGCGGGCCGCCAGGGTGAGCGCGCTCTCCGAGCACCCTTAACTGTACCAATCCCTCTGCCCGCCCCCCCCCCCCAGAGCTCCCCATCCCAAGTTTATCCCCCACGCCCCGGGCTCCCCAGTCCTCTGGAATCTCTTCCTCCCTGCAGCCCGAGTTCTCTGCGTCCCTGCAAACACACCCCTCCCGAGCCTTCCAAACTCCAACCCTCTGCCCCAAGTCATCGTAGATCCTGGGAAATGGCTCCTTAACCGGAAATCTCCTGGACTTCCCAGACAGTTTCGCTCCCGCCTTTCCCACACACCTTCTGAGACCTTCAGAATGTCTCAGGCCCACAGAATGTCCTCAGCCTCTCCAAAACTCAACTTGCTGTCCCTTGCACGCCCCGAAGCCACTTACTTACTCCCGGTCCTCGGTGCCCCAGGCCTTAGGAACAACGCCTCCCTTGTTGTTGCCACTAGACCCTCAGAAATCCCTTCTCCATCTCTCCCTCTTTGGGGCCCTCTCTCATTCTCCCTGGGCCCAACTCCTAGATCTCTTTTTCTCTCTGACTTTGAACCTGGCTGTTTGTGATCTTCTGCTCTTTGCTTTCAAAGTTCTAGAAGATCCCCGCCCCTACAGAACACTGAACCTCCAAACTACTGGTGCCAGTCAGGATAGTTTGTTTCCCCACGACCTAGCTGCAACGTTGAGTCGGGAGGTGTGTGTGTGTGTGTGTGTGTGTGTGTGTGTGTGGTCCTTTCTAAATCCCCTCCCAGATTCTTCACCCTTTTCGTCAACCCCCTGCAGAGGACTTCCCACTAGCCTTGTGTCTCCCAAGGGACCTCATGCTATGCTCTCCTCTCTAGCACCCCTGAATTGCCCATGTATCCCTTCCTTCCAACTGTACATGTGTCCCCTGCCTCTGGGATTCTGTCCCATTTCCATTCCTCCCTCCCTAGTTACTTTCTCATTCTGCCAAGTGGCTTCCAGAAGTTTGAGAACCCTCAAATCTAGACAGACCTGTCTCCTGCTACTCATCCCCCAAGTCAGCCCAGAAACTTCTCAGATGGTTTCAACTCCCACCCCACCCCCTCTTGGGGTAGCTCAATTCTCTGGGTTCTCCTCTCCCGGCCTTGTGCCCCCCCCTTCTCAAGCTCCCCCTACCATCACTCCTCTATTTGCCTCCCCTGATGTAAACCCAGAACCCTGGAAACTACCAGGTTCCATCAGAGATGTCTCCTGGAAAAGTTTGAAAGCCTCAGTAGCTTCCCAGGCTTTTTGGATACCCTTTTTGATAGCTCTGGCCAAAGCTTGCCCCCCTTCCTAAACTTACTCCGAGTCGGGAGACCCTGGAGGGTGTGTGGGAATAGAGAGGGGGTACATTCGGGAAAAGAGAGGGCACTAGCAAAAGTGGGGAACAGAGAGCCACTCCTACCCCTAACCCCCTTAGTCCCCCCTCCCCCGCCAGCGCGCCGTGTCCTGGGCCGGGAAGGACGCAGAGCCGCAGTGCCGCATTCGGGCTGGGGTGGGGGCGGGGGGAACGACCGACCGGAGGCTTCGCATAAAGTTTTAGTCCCTGAGAAGCGCTGAATTGGCGACATTTGGGGTTGAGTTGGGGGGAAGGGGAAAGAAAAGAGTGATTGGAGGGACATGGCCCCAGATGCTCCTTTGGGCCTCCGATCCTCTCCTCCCCCACTCGGTGGCTTGGGGCGCCCTTCCTGTGACCCTATGGAGAGGTGCTGAGACCGAGACGAGGTCTTTGGATGATGGTCAGACTAGGGGTCCTGAATGGTTACTAAGGTCACTCAGCACTGATTTATTTATTTGCCTATTTGAATGTTCGCTGTGTGCCAGGTACTTTCCAACTTCCAGGTGGATCTTCTTGCAAGTTGGGAATGCAAACCTCCGCAATCTCAGGGTCCAGTCCTCCCCGCTCCGCTTTGCTTTCTTTATAGAGCCCTGGTAGCTCCCATGCCTTCTGCTTCGGAGTCACTTCAGGGGAAACCAACCGTCCACCTGTGCTTTGACAACGGGTGCCCACCCTTCCTTGGGCTCTGGGAGGGAAGGAGTTAGGCAAATTATAGGCCCAGTGGCCTTTTAACTGAGAAGCCGAAGCCATAGGTACTGCGGCTGCGCGCCAGCTTGCAGCGCTTCAGCCTGGAAGGAGTTAAGGCGGCCACCAGGCCACTGCGGCTGCGCACTGCGGCGGGGGAGCTGTCCGTGGTACTGGCCGCCGCGCTCCCTGCTCCGGGCCGGGCCGACCCGCCCCCACTGCAGTACCGCAGCAGCCTGCTGGTTGGGGGCGGGGAGGCCCCGGGCATGCGCTCTGCGGAGACCTCCGGCCTCCACCACTGCGGAGAAACCAAATCGGTGGTCTGGCTGACCACTACTGACCACTCTCCCAGCTACCCTAAGGCCCAGGGCCTCCTCACCCCTCAGTTACTGGGCTCTGTCTGGCCTAAGTCCAGGACCCCGAATTCACCTCTCACGGACCATAGCCTCTCCACGTCCACAACTCGGTCCTCTTCCCACTGTGGATTACCCCACTTGGCCTCCTTTGCTTGAGGTAAAAAGTGCAGACCCAATCACTCTGGTTTCTCCCACAGTAACCCTCTCTTTCCACCCCTCCTCAGCTTCCAGATCCTGGTCTTGTCTCCTCTTTCTCACCGTGTAGGGGCACCCCCACTTTGACAAGACAAACACAAGCTACTCACTCCCAGTTAGTGGCCTTTGGCCCAAAGCTTAGGCCCCTGAATTTACCTCTACAGAACCGTAACCACAGGGCATCTCCATCCTCTTCCCTCTCCTTAGCCTTGACCCAGCAAGGCCTTCCCTCCTCAGCGTCCCCTGCTTTCAGTCCATCCCTGAACTACCCCCAGGTCTGTTTTCAGGGGGACACCTGCATTGGGGGGTCCTTAGCATCCTCTGACCCCCTCATCCTTGCCCTAGCTGACTGACCCACCGTAGCCTAGTAACAGCTCAGATCTCACTGTGTTCCAGGCACTCAGCCAAGCACTGTTTTTGGAAGCAAGTCCTCTGTACACTCACCAAATCTTCATAACAATTCCATTAAAAAACAAAATTCAGATCCAGAAATCTTAACCCTTGCTCCAGTTTGACGAATTCAAACCCAGGCTTTTGAGATGGGCCTAGTGGCATGCAGGTCTGTGGTCCCAGCTACCGGGCAGGCAGGAGGACTGTATATTCAAGGCCTGGTCAAATTAGTGAGACCCTGTCTCGGGATAAAAGGAAGGGCTGTGCCTCGGGGACAGAGTGCTTAGCTAGCTTGCATAAGGCTGTGGGTTGCATCCCCAGTGCCACAGAAATAAAATCCTGTGTTCCCAACTGCCCTCTCCCTTCCCCAGCTCCAGGCTGAGTCCCAGACCTCAGATGTGGGCTATGTGGTAGTCCCTCTCATGCCCATCCCCAAATAGAATATTTGGATCCTTCTGGGGCACCCTGGTTTGGAACCCAGAAAGTGTCCTTTCCCTGGGTCATCTGTGGTAGCTGAGCCTCTGTTCCTTCCTCAGGATAGGTTGCTAGGGGTGGCAGGACTTAAGTGGGGACACTTGGATTCACAGGGGACTCGGGCCCTGAAGTAGGGGACGGGAGGGTACCAGAGGGTCTTTAGACTCCAGTGATGCAAACATGTTGGTCACCCCCCATTTTCTCTGCCATCCCCCTGCAGTATGTGGCCTTCGCCTCCCTGTTTTTCATCCTCATTTCCATTACCACCTTCTGCCTGGAGACACATGAGGGCTTCATCCACATCAGCAACAAGACGGTGACGCAGGCTTCCCCAATCCCTGGGGCTCCTCCAGAGAACATCACCAATGTGGAGGTGGAGACAGAGCCCTTCTTGACCTACGTGGAAGGCGTGTGCGTGGTCTGGTTCACCTTTGAGTTTCTCATGCGTGTCACCTTCTGCCCGGATAAGGTGGAGTTCCTCAAAAGCAGTCTGAACATCATTGACTGTGTGGCCATCTTGCCCTTCTATTTGGAGGTGGGCCTGTCAGGCCTCAGCTCCAAAGCTGCCAAGGACGTGCTGGGCTTCCTGCGTGTCGTCCGCTTCGTGCGCATCCTGCGCATCTTCAAGTTGACCCGTCACTTCGTGGGCCTGCGTGTGCTGGGCCACACGCTCCGGGCCAGCACCAACGAGTTCTTGTTACTCATTATCTTCCTGGCTCTAGGGGTCCTCATCTTTGCCACCATGATCTACTATGCTGAACGCATTGGTGCCGACCCTGATGACATCCTGGGCTCCAACCACACCTACTTCAAGAACATCCCCATCGGCTTCTGGTGGGCCGTGGTCACCATGACCACCCTGGGCTATGGAGACATGTATCCCAAGACATGGTCTGGGATGCTGGTCGGGGCACTGTGTGCCCTGGCTGGTGTCCTGACCATTGCCATGCCGGTGCCCGTCATTGTCAACAACTTCGGCATGTACTATTCACTGGCTATGGCCAAGCAGAAATTGCCAAAGAAGAAAAACAAACATATCCCCAGGCCTCCACAGCCTGGCTCACCCAACTACTGCAAGCCTGATCCCCCGCCTCCACCCCCACCACACCCCCACCACGGCAGCGGTGGCATCAGCCCACCACCGCCCATCACCCCTCCCTCCATGGGGGTGACTGTGGCTGGGGCCTACCCACCCGGACCCCACACGCACCCGGGGCTGCTCAGGGGTGGTGCTGGGGGCCTTGGCATCATGGGATTGCCTCCTCTGCCAGCCCCTGGTGAGCCCTGCCCCCTGGCTCAAGAAGAGGTGATCGAAAGCAACAGGGCAGGTGAGACTGGGGTCAGGACTGGGATTGTGGGGAGACCTGGGGCGAAGGTGGGTAGGATCGCAGGGTCACGTGTCTGTTAGGGCCAGGCAGAGTCGGGTGGAAGGCAACAGCAGACAGAGAAAGAGTAAGTGGCTAGCAGGCTAGAGAGGAGACAGAAGGAGCCATAGGCAGGCATGCCTCCATGTGCAAGAGTTCCTGCAGGGGGATTTGCAGCCAGGCTGCTCTGAGAGGCCCCTGGGCAGGAGTCGCATGGTGACGGTGTTGCTAGAGACTTGGAAACCCAGATATGGTGGTGCATGCCCCTCATCCGTTGTTGGCACTTGGTACCTCCTATACTTGGGAGGAAGAGGATCAGGATTTCAAGGCTAGCCTGAGCCACATGTCTCTGTCTCAAACATCATAGGGGAAAATAAAAAGAGAAAGGGAAAGGAGTTAGGACAGGACGGTGCGGGGGAAAGAGAGAAGGAAGAGGGCGCAATGGCAGGCACTCCCTTATAGTTCCAGCACCAGGGAGGACCAGAATGTTCGAGGCTGTCCTGGGCCATATGCACATGGGGACCCTGACTCAGGAAAACAAACAGGAAAGGTTTGGAGTGACTTCCCGGACCACTAGTCCACTCCGTTCTTAGAGACAAGTTTCCTAAGAAAGAGATACTCCTGTTTCTATTTGGAAGGAAAGGGAGAGAGAGAAAGAAAGAAAAAGCAGTGAGAGCCAGGCATGGTGATGCATTCTTGTAACCCCAGTGCCTAGGAGGGAGAGGCTGGGTGGTCAGGTGTTCGAGGCCAGTCTGTCTCAGAAAGAAATGCTCTCATTGGGAAACACAGGAGTCTCCCGTAGCTGCAAAGAAGGCTGGGGACAGCCTGTGCGCATTGCAGCACGTGACTGGCAGGCTGTCCCCAGGGCCAGAGCTGGGGAAGGTAACACAGTTGGGAGACCGATGGAGTGGGCAGTCAGCAGGACAGAGTTCAGGGCCCACCTACAGGCAAAAGGGAGAGATCTGCAGAGACCAAGGGCCAAAGCTAAGAGGGCCCTGCGGGCAGAGCTGTCAGGCAGGATCTGCAGAGAACAGCGTGAAAAACGGGGTCCCAGAGAGTTCTTCCTATCAGAAGAGTCAGCCAGGTCTAGTTGAACACGCCCATTATTCCAACATTGGGGGGGGGGCTGAGGCAGAAGGATGAAGTGAGTTCAAAGCCAGCCTGGGCTATAAAGCAAGACTTTGTCTCAAAAGAAGTTGTTTAAATAAGAAGTCAGGCCCAGTAGAGGAGGGAGGGGACGAGGAAACGGATTTTTCGTGCTGCGTGTGTCCTGGGGGACTCTGTTTCTTGTAGGCAGTGACTTGGGTGTCCTGGAGGATGGAGGTGAGCCCCCCCAGGCCTTAAGTAGGTCAAGAAAATGAGCTAGTCTGCCCGGCCCCCATCCTGTTCCCTTAGCCACTGACCTAGTTCCCCATCCATTAAAAATAGCTCAAGTCAGGGCCTAGGGGACCCCCACCTCACCCGTCACCTTCCCAGCCCTGCCCCTCCCTGCCCTTTGCAGCACCCCACATTTGTCCCTAAGCAGCCACTTCACAACCCGTGACATCCTCCCCGCCCCCTGCCAGTGCTCTGCCCCTTAATGCTGGCTTTGCTAAGCTCCCACCTTTTGTTTTTTTTGGAGGAATCTCACTATGCAGCCCAGGCTGGCCTCCAACTCAGAATCCTCCTGCCTCAGCCTCCTGAGTGCTGGGCTGATAGGTGAGCCCCCGGCCCCCTCCCAGCCACATATTCACACAAGGCCCAGCTGCCACTTTCTGGCACTTGCCTCTGACCTCAGCTAGTCACTTCTGCACACTCAGTCCATTTGCCCTCCCCACCACCCCCCTTCCCAGCCACCCCACCAACAACCCTGCCCCCCATGCCCCAGGGTGCCGCTACAATTTCTGTCCCTCCAGTGCTTCCCACTGTCACCCTTCAGTTTCCGCCCTTGCAGTAGACCCCCGTCCCAATGGGGACCCTGCAGCAGCTGCCCTGGCCCACGAGGACTGCCCTGCCATCGACCAACCAGCCATGTCTCCAGAAGACAAGAGCCCCATCACTCCTGGAAGCCGGGGTCGCTACAGCCGGGACCGCGCTTGCTTCCTCATCACTGACTATGCCCCTTCCCCTGACGGCTCCATCCGAAAAGGTGAGGTGCCCTCCAGGCGCTCCCCGGAGACCCTTCCTTTCTCCCCAGCCCGGGGGGGGGAGGGGAGGGGAGGGGAGGGGGCAGGTGCCGGGCTTCCCTCGTCTCCCCCTCAGCCCCAAACCACCTTCCTCCCTCTCCTCCTCCTTCACCTTGAGCCCGAGTTTCCTCACCTCTTTATTTCATCTCCATCTCCCCCACCCACCCTGACTCTCCGGCCTCTTCCCTCACCCCCAGCCACTGGTGCTCCCCCACTGCGCCCCCCATACTGGCGTAAGCCAGGCCCCCCAAGCTTCTTGCCCGACCTCAACGCCAACGCAGCAGCCTGGATATCCCCCTAGTGGACGAGCCCCCTCCCCCTAGGGTAAGTAGCTCCCCACCATCCCTCTGACTCCCTCCCTTCTGCACCTCCAACTAACCGCTCTGAGCACATGCTCTCCTACTGACCGACACCCTCACCCGTGGGGACAGCTGTACCCCGTTGCCGACGACGACCCCACTGTCACCCAGGACTCACGCCCAGCCCCCACCTCTGACCTGCTCACCCCCACCCCCACCCCCACCCCACCGCTGGCCCTACCCTCGCTGTCTGCATCCCTCTCTGGGTATTTTTTGTCTCGTCGCTAGCTAGCGTAAGTGCAGGATGGAGTGAACCAGGTGACTTCTCCCTGATCGTAAGAACTGAGAAGACTTAGTTCCCCAGGGCTTTCTGATGGCCAAGTAGAAAGCAGAGGCAGGCCTATCAGAGGACACGGGGCCAGGTCTGTGGAGGTGAAAGGTCAGTCAAGAGGGATGGGACAAGCCAAGCATGGCCGTACACATCTGTGACCACAGCACTTGGATGCTGGAGCAGAGGGATTGTGAGGCTGAAGCTAGCCTGGGCGAGAAAAAAAGCCCTGCCCTCAACGCACCTCCCCCCGATTCTTTGTTTTAGCTACTACACTTTGGGGTAATTTCTTACACGGCAGAGGTCGCTGTTCCATTCTATGATTGTGGGTAGGCACCACCACAGCCAGCTCTGGGAAACCTGTCTGAGAAAGTGATGTGAGGCTTAGAAGGATAGAAAGGATCAACCGGGCAGACCTTGGCCTCAAAGCTCCTGCCTAGAATCCCCCAGTGAGGGGCTCAGTGGTGGAGCACCTGCTGAGCACATCCTAACTTCTACTTCCCGTACTGCAAAGAAAGAAAGGCTGGCCCACTGAACCCGGGAAGGGTGTAAGAGCATGAGCCGTGGGCCAGGCTAGCTCCTGCCTTACACACGGTGAGGTGCCTGGACCAGTGTATCCTACCTGCTCAGTCTGGAAACAACACAGCACCTTCTTTAGAAACGTAAACACTCCAAGAGTCGTTGCCCTCAGCCTAAGGCTACCGCCCCCCATGTTCCAAAGACCCCCCAGGGAGTGTCAACTAGGAGCAGACAGAGCTGAGAACCTAGGCTTCAGGCTCCTAGCCCAAAGGGGCCTGTGTGCCTCCTACACGACCCCCATCTCCTTCCATGTCCATCTCATGACTCCCTCCCTTCCTCCCATCCCACCCCACCCCACTCCACCCACCCCCGCTTGAACCTGGACCTCTATTCCTTACCCCTTTGAGGGATTCCTGGTGGGATGGAGGGTAAAGCGGAGTGTGTGTGGGAAGGCCAGGGGTCCCAGTGGGGTGGGTGAGGCCCTTGCTTTTCTTGCATATGATACCAAAATCCATTCACTGAACTCAAATGATGGCCGGAGCTAATGGGACTGACTGCATTCTCTGCCCCAGTGTTCCCCTGCTGACCCGCCTCTCTGCCCCTTCCCTCCCACCCTCGGCCCTTCCTTCCCTACCCTAACCATCCCGGAAGCTCCTCCCATATTTGATGTCTCTGGCTGCCCCCATTTCACCGCTCCCATCACCCCCTGGAAAACACCAGAGAGGAGGAAGACATCCAGGCGTTTCTCCATCCCCCCAACAGTGAGCCTGTGTTGGGGAGCCCATCTGCCTCTCATTCCCCATCCTTGACTCTCTGTATTTCTGTCCCCAGCTCTTGTCACCGCCTGAGACCTCGCGAGACCCTCGGGTTCCCCCTGTCCCTTCCCCCCAGGTTAGCAATTGGGAATGGTGGGAGGGGCTATCCCTGAGACACTGGGCTCTGTTCCCCCAACTCTAGGCACTCTTCTGCAGCTAGAATACCACCTCCCAGCCTGGGATGCTCAGAAGTCATCCCAATCCCTGATGCTAGCAGAGAAAAAACAAAACAAAAACCCCACTCACCCCAGTGGTACTAATGTGGGGTCCCATGAGCTGTGTCAACAGTTCCTGTCAACAGCAGAGCCCATCCAATTTTGGAATCATCCACCTCATCCAATGTCCTGGACTCTTGAAAGATACCGAGTGTAATGGCTCATGCCTTAGTCCAAGGCCACTTACCTACTGAATTTGAAGTCAGCCTAGGCTAAATAGTGAGTTTGAGACCAGCCTGGGCTACATGATTTCAGTCCATCCTAAGCTATATAGTATGTTCCCGGCCAGCCTGAGCAACATAGTGGGACTGAGGCCAGCCTGGGCTACCCAGGGAGCTGTTATCCCAGGGAATCTCCTCCCCCTCCCGCACCAGGTCCCTAGCTCCCCCCTGCGCAGCCCCCTCCACCAGCTGCTACCTCCACCCCAGCCCCTGCCGCCCACCATCCCACCTCACCAACTGCTGCCTTTGGGCCTCAGACCAGGGGACCGTGGGGAGGGGGGAGGGGGAGGGCAGGCTGGGTGGGGAGACTTAGTGGGCACAGCCTGCCTCCTAATCCTGTCTCTCCCCTACCGTGTGTCTGCACCTTTTTTGTGGATGCTGACTGACTCCAATTTCTTCACCTCTCTCTCCATCTCCTCGGCCCGCCCGCCCGCCCCACCTACGGGTGTTCTTCCCTTCCCATCCCCTTCTTTGTCTTTGTGTCCCTGTTTGGGGTCTCTGTGCACCCTCACCCTGGCCCCCATCCCCACGGCCCCTCCCACCCTTGTCTCTGCTCCTTCCTCAGGTTACGAGAAGTCCCGCAGCCTGAGCAGCATTGTGGGCCTGAGCGGGGTGTCCCTGCGCCTCGCGCCCCTCGCCACTCCCCCTGGCTCGCCCCGGGCCACGCGCCGAGCTCCCCCAACCCTGCCCTCCATCCTCTAGCGATTCCCTCCCCCCGCGGGGGGACTGGGGGTGATGGGAAGGTCGAAAGGCGCTGGGGGTGGTGGGTGAGAAAAGGGTTCTTTTAAAAATGTCATTAATAATATGCAAAAGAGATGATGATGCCAGCAGACACCCCAGGCCTCTCACTCCCCACACACTAGAAAACCCCCAGGATAGAGGGGGCGGGGTAGGAGCCTGTTCTCCCCCAACTCTCCCCTCAAAAAAAAAAAAAAAAAAAAAGTAAAACCTCAGGTCTCCATGAGCCATAGGACACCCCTCCCATCGACTCCTGTAAATAACTAAAAGCTGATTCCACCTAGGGGCACTCACTCTAGTTTGCATGCCTCCCGGACCCCCTCTTCAGCAATAAGCCGCCAGGAGCTGCGTGCAGAGAGTTGGAGGAGAGGCTGCTGGGAGCTTCTGGGGTCGGGGATGGCATTTTAGGGGTTTTCCTGATCACCCACCAAAAGGGCAACCCACCCATCAACAATCGATTCAGGAAAAACAAACAAACAAACAAAAAACCCTCTAGGAACATGTAGGGAAAGGAAAGCAGGTTAATCAGCCGCATCCTTGAGCTCAGCTGGGGGTGGGGGTTCTGCCAGCTGCTCCCGGGCTTGGAGGACTCCTGCTGGTGCATTCCACCTACGCCCGCCTCCGGGGATCTGCTCCCTCTATTCACTGCATGGACTTAGCCCTCCAGGCCCAGAATCCTCCACCGCACCGTCTCCACTCTATCCCAGAACATGAGGCTAGCACCCTAGACTTCCGGAGATTGACCCTGGCACCCTGCACTCCCATCCCCGCACACTTCCGGCACCCCACACTCCCCTCCATACCCACACGTCCACCACTGGCCTTGGCTGCACCTCAGTGTTCTTCCACCCTCCCACCCCAGCTCACTTACAGACATCCTGACATTTCTCATGACCCAGACATTGCCCAGACACACCCATATTCATTCAAGCTTCCCCCCATCCCAGACAGCCCTGACCCCGACATCACACTCCCCAGTTCCAGGCGCCTCTGATGCTAGACCTTCCCAGATGGGCTCGGGCTCGGCCTGTCTGATTCCAGGGAGCTCCCACTCCATCCGGCATCTCTGTCTAGGCAACCCCCTCCTCAAAGCCGCTTCCACCGAGATGGTGCCAAAACACAGACTTTCCCAGAGCGTGGGACTCCATTCCCTCTTCGTGTGCTGTAGTCTGCAAAGTGCACAAACGACCAAGTGTTTAAAACATGAATGCTCCAGGCACACCTAGCTGGTGCGTCCTGGCAGCGCGGCAGTTGGGTGTTGACATTGGAAGTAAGTCAAGGACAGTCAAGCACACAGCTTGCCTAATGTGCTAAGGTCCCGGGGTTCAATCTCCGGCAGCCCCTCTTCCCCTAAAACAGTCCCAAAGTGATGATAGAAGCTGTGGCTCGCGTGGTGGGAAAAGACACGCCCACCTCGACTCATCCACCCCCTCCCAGTGTCCCTTGCCCGCCACGTGCCACGTTCGCGGTGGAAGACTCCCAAATCCCATCTTGGCTCCAGTATGCTACCTCCCCCAAAGCCCAGAGACCACACTGGTCCCAGAATCCTAAACAAACTCCTTTGGAGCAGGGTGGTCAGCAAAATTAGCAATCTCTTCCTTGTTCCCACAGCCTCAGGGAGCCCTCCCGCTGCCACCAGCGTGTCGGTGAGAGAGTCCTTGGGCCCAATTCTCGATGCAACGATTCCTATGCAAGGGGCATTTTGAGTCCCCCCACCCCCACACCTCCAGCCTTCCCTTGGGACTTTAAACCCTGCTAAGACAGGGGTTGAGGGGTGGGGTGGGATCTGGTAGGGGCAGGACAAAGGGCTAGGGGACTCCAGACATCAGGGTATGAGGTGAGAACTCCTAATATTGCCAAAGGGTTTAACTTTAAACAGCCCCTATTATCCCCTCCCATCCCTCAATGGGGCGGGGAGAGGGGGCAAGAGTCCTTTTCGAGGGTACCAACCACCTCCCACTGTCTTCCCCCTGCTCTCCAGTTTCCCACACGTATCCAGCTTTTTAGTTAAGCTTTTTTTAAAAAGCTACCATCGTTATAAATGTCTACAAAACGTGATTTTTGCCCCCTTCATATTTCCCAATTTACCAAACAGTGTGGGGTTCGGGGAGGGAGAGCCAGGTCCTGGTCTCCCTTTTCCCCACGGCCGCCAGGGTGCCTGCAACTGCACGCATGCGCTGCATGATGCACCCCCCCACACACACACGCGCATGTGTCGCGCACCCCTCCTGCGCTGGTGGGGGGGACGCACGGGCTGGGGGCGGGGCGATGGGGAGGAAAGATTGGCAGGGGGCAAGGGGGTCTTCCTGAGCTCAGCAGCTCCCCTCCTTCCCCACACACTCACAGCAATAAGTTTCTCTACTTCTAGTGGGCGGATGGGTCTGGCCTGGCCTGGCCTGGCCTGGCGCGGGAGGGGTTGGCCAAGGGGCGCTCTCAGGGATGGGGGCGGGTCCTGAGTCTGGGGGAGGGGAGGTCTGCAACTCTGGTGCTAACAGGCGGGTCTTCCTGGCCCACCCGCAGGCAGGCAGGGAGGGGTCGGCAGGCTCCTCCCCCAAGCCTCCCCCACGCCCATCCAGGGTGCATGAACCACCCACGCAGAAGCTGCCGCATGTCAGCCCTCCCCCACAAAGAAACAGTGTCATGCCCCTCCCCAGCCCAATAAATGATTCCTTTTCATTTAGAAGTGGCTTTTGATTTGGGTTTGGGGTGCAAGCTGGGCTGGGTGATGCAGGCCTGCCATCCCTCTCAAGAGGTAGAGGTAATACAGCCTGGGCAACAACGGGAAGAAGGTAACAGAGGGCTGGGGTGTGGCTCAATGGTAGAGCCCCGCCTAGAATCCCCCATGGGACCTGAGCTTTGGGCACTGGGGCAACAGCCTTCCTAACTAGACTATATGAAAGAGATGCGTTTAAGAACTTGAGTGCTAGAACCCAAGGCAGCGTGTCCTGGGTATGCAGCAAGGTGCTTATGAAAACTTAGCATGTGTGGATTACCAGCCCTGAAGCCAGACTGTGTGGGGTTTGGGTGTCCTGGGGCTCACCCTGTTCCGAACACTGTGAAAGGGCCAGGAAATTGCACTTTAGTCCCTCAGTGACTGCTCAAAGGTGCTGAGGAGACACCGGCTTGCCTAGTATATAGCAGGACACCTTTACTTCTTATTGCACAGTAGATACCCAGTCTCTAGGAAGGATCTCACATACTACAGCAGCAGAGAAAACCCCTCACACTCCGTCTCCAATCAGGAACACAGCCACGGTGAAGGATCTAGTCAGGTGCAGTTTATTTCTTCAGTGCCTGGCGCAGGAGAGACCTGAACACTACTACTCTGTGAGCACACAGACCTTACCCCATAAAAGAGGGCAGGATACTGGGAGGGGATGGAGGCGGCCGCCTGCCTTCTGCAGCCGACAGGATATGCTTCCTCATGCTCATTCTGTCCCCTTAACAAGAGTGACTATCCTTGCCTCCCAGTAACCCGGTTCCTTGGTTTAGGGCCTTGATTTGGAGTCCCCAGTGGGTGGGAGTCTGGGGTTCCAGTAGGGATCATCAATGCCAGAGGGCAGCATCATCTCAAAGTGCTAGCCAGGAGGGACACTGGGACAGGCTCTGTCCTTGGGGCATCTAGGACAGACTGACTGGGTCACTGGGGTGTGGCAGGGGGCGGAGCTTCAGGCTCCTGGGGTGGTGCAGGCCCAGGCTCCGCCCCCTCGGCTTCCTCCTCATCAGAAGCCACGCCTTCTTCCAGCCGGAACACCTGGCGCACTGTGCGAGTGGTGAAGGTGAGTGGGCCACGCCTGTGGGAGAAGAATGCACAAGGCCCAGGTTGGTGGCACACGCCTTTAATCCCAGCACTCAGGAGGCAGAGGCAAGTAGATCTCTGTGAGTTCGAGGCCAACCTGGACTACAGAGCTAGTTCCAGGACAGGTTCCAAAACAATACAGAGAAAGCCTGTCTTCAAAAACCAAAAATAAAATAAAATAACAAAACTTTAAAAAATGCACACGTGACATGAGATAGAGGTCAAAGATGCAGATAGAGATGAGAACACTGACGCAGAAAGGGAAAGAAAGATAGGGACAAGAGACGCCGAGGTCAAAGTCGGGTAAATGGTCAAACAGGTGCGGATGGCATCCGAGCAAGGCTGAGAAAGCTCAGGAGAAAGACGAGGGTAGCCACAGCCTCCTTCCCACCCCAGGGCCTTATCCTCATGCTGGGCATCCAGGAGAGGTCTGTCGGGGGGCTTACCGGAGCCTGTTCCTCAGCGTGGTCACCTCCCGGTTCATGGACTCGGCAGACTCTGTGACGTCCTCCAGCTCCCGTTGCAGTCGCCGCCGGCCAGCCTGCGCCCGCGACGCTTCCTCCTCTGCTTCCTCCAGCTGTCGCTTGAGCTGCTTCAGCCGGAGGTTGCCTTTCTCCAGCTGAGTGTTGTGGGGGGAGACCCAAGTCATTCCCATGGTGTCCCCCAGTGCCTAGAGCAGCTGTGGTGACCTACTGAGACCTTTACAGTATGGCAGCAAAATACGCAGAAGCCATCTGGGTGTTGGACGGCTGAGACCCTGGCGCTTAGCAATCCATGGAGCAGAGATCTCCTGACCCTCCCTGTGAGATCCTGCCTCCCCCTTCACTGCTGAGGTCTTTGGGATGTAAGAGCATATAGAAGGCAGGGGGAAGTAGACGGGAATGAGCCTCTGGGGCTGCAGTGTTTGTGAGCCCATCGCTCATGATGGGGTGAGGTTTCTTGGTAATGCACCTGTTTTTGAGTCACCCATGGTCCTGTAAGTGACCCCAATAAACTCACTGGCTGACCAAACTGGCCTGGTGGATTTAGTTTCTTGGCCTGTCAGTACCCTGCCTGGTATAAACATGTGGTCCTGGGAAGTCTTGTGACAGCATTGTAGGGACACAGCATACTCAGAGCAGGCCCCTCCCCCTCATAGCCCTCCTTCGGCTCCCCAGGACTGCTGGGTAAGGGGCCAGCCCTAATATAAACTTCCTCGTGCCCATGTCTCTGAGGAACCCAGTGAGCATACCAAATTCACCCTACATCCCCAGGCACTGCCACCCCTCTCCAGGGAATGAACACACATCATTTGACTTCATTTGTCTCATGAAGTACAGGCTGGTCTTGAACTCAGTATGTAGCTAATGATGACTTTAAACTGTGTTGGCCCTGCCTTCATCTCCCAAGTGCAGTGCTAGGTATGGAAACCAGGGTCTTGTGCATGTAGGTAAGCACTGTATCCACTGAGCCACACCCCCACCCTACAGCTCTTATATTCCTCTAGCTGCACTGCTCATTCTGCTTGCTTCATTTCTTCAGGGCCTTTGAGCCTCCTGCTCTTTCTGTCTGGCTGTTCCTCCCCTGTCAGGTCTTAATTCAAATGTTACCTCCATAACCCTTTCCAAAACCCAACCTGGACAAGGCTCTCTATTCCTATGCCTTAATTATTTTCTTTCACAGCCCTCACCGGAGTCTGGCATTATCTTTGTATGGTTGTGTGTATAATACCTTTCCTATACTGGTAATGTGAGCCCTGTGAGAGCTAGGACCTTCTGGAACTTCCCAGCACCTTACTTCTAATGCCTAGAAATGTACCTGTCATAAAGGCCATACTCAATAATCATTTTGGGGAATGAATAGGAGTCAAGGCATAGCTGAGCTTTTAAGGACACAGGGACTCTACCTGAGCATAGACCTGGAGTCACATACAGGCTCTGTTACCTACAGACCACAGGATATTTTTATTGTTGCTGTTGGTTTGAGGAGTCTCTCAATGTAGCACAGCTCTCCTAAAACTCAGCAATCCTCCAGCTTTTGCTTCCACCACAGTGGAGATGACCCACTGAGCCACCTGCCAGACCAAGCTAGCAGTGTTATTTTCTTGTTTTGATCCTAGTGCCCACTGCTCACCTGGTCCCTGAGCTGGTCAGCCACCCTACGCTCTTCGTCCACCTGAAGAACCACCTCCTTCAGTCGCTTCTCAGCTCTGCGCACCAACTTGCCAGAGAGAATGCGTTCTCTAAAGAGAAGAGCCCAGGAGATCCTCTGTCACCACAGCATGTTTAGTGTTGTCCCATCCTTGGGTTTCTTCCCTCTTTTGTACCTTCTAGCTGCCTCCCACTCAGCCAGGCTTCCTGCTGCAGGACAGCTATGTCACTAAAAATAAGTCCTGTGATGTTGATGGTTTTGAGACAGGGTCTCCTGTAGCCCAGGCTGGCCTCAAACTCATTATGCAGCCAAGGATGACCTTGACCTCTTGATTCTCTTTCCCTCCACTTCCCACGTGCTGGAATAATGAGCATGCCCCATCATGCCCAGTTTATGCGGTGCTGGAGATGAAGCCTGGGACTCCCTGCATGCTGAGCAAGCACTTTAGCCCAACTGAGCCCCAGCCCCTCCTGCCTCTGCATGTGTATGTAGTGTTTCACATCCCCTCCAGACCAAGGTGAAGATGCTGAGCTGGAGATCAGGAATCCCAGACAGACTGCCTGTCTGATCTGTTTTTCTATATATCACATAAGCATCATGGGTATCACACCTGTATAGATGGCAGCCAGGAACCTACAGATGTAGACTGCTGTCACTGTAGTCCCACGGTGTCTCAATAGCTGGGGATGCCTGCTGTGCTGGAAATCCCTTAGTGATGGCTTTGATTAACACAGCGGCTGGCTCTTGACATGTATTATGGGAGGCTGGTTTACAGGAACCTCAGCTTCTACTGCCATTGCTTCCCACATCATTTACATACATACATACATACATACATACATATATATATATTTGTGTGTGTGTGTGCTCATGTGTGCCTTGTGTATGTGCGCCTGTGTGTGCCTGTGTGTGTGTGTGTGGCGCATGCGTGTGCATATATGCATTCCAGGCCATGTGCTATGGAGGTAAAGGGACAACTTTCAACTTTTCTTCCCTTCTGCCATGTGGCTCTTCAGCATGGTGTTCAGAACTTGGCAGCAAGCTCATGGAAGGGACTGATAATCCCTGCTAAAAAAATGTTAGTCTTTCAGCTGATTGTTGGGGGCATGCACCCACAGATCATCTGCCCAGAAGGCTAGGAGTGGATATTGGTAATGACCTGGGAGGTCATTTTGCTATCTGTGGAGGCAGACCTCATCCACCTTTTGCTTCAGAGGAGACCTCATCCAAATTCTCCAGAATGATTACCCCAGACTCTTCCCTCCCTGACCTTACCCCTCCTTAGGGAGATGTCACATGTGCTTATGGCCTGCTGACCTCTATGCTGTCTCAGAGACCACAGCAAATTCTAGGCCTTTTGGATGTGGAACCCACCCTCCTGGCCACATATACTTTGTAAAGGATTTATAAGTCACACCTCAAGCTTTACTGTGCTCCGGGAATGGGAGCGAGTGGACCGATTCTTTCCTGGAAATCTTCCCCCAAACTGTTCTGTTTTAAATATGCAGGCAATGAGCCGCCTGCCTGAGCTGCCTGCCATGGACTCCCAAGGTCAGTCTGCACCGGGTCGTCACCGACAGCCTCAGCCGATGTTTTCTTTTGTTTGATAGTTTTGTTTCTTTGGTGGGTTTTGTTTTGTTTTATGGGAGGATCTCATTGCATAGCTCTGGCTGACCTGAAACTCTCTGTGTAGATCAGACTAGCCTCAAACTCACAGAGATCTGATGGCAGATGTCATTCTGTAAATATGTTTCTCTTATTGGTTAATGAATAAAGCCCTGTTGGCCAATAGGGAAACAAGATACGCGGGACTAGGAGACAAGGAGGATTCAGGAAGAGGTAGGAGGTGAGTTGACATGGAGGATCGAGAGAGCAGAGGTCCGAACCTCTCTCCAGTAAGATGAGACCACACAGAAATACTTAGATGAATAGAAATGTGTTAATATTTAAGACAGAGCTAGCCAATAAGAAACGCTAGTAACCGGCCAACAGCTTTATATCTAATACAGCATCTCTGTGTATTATTTGGGGCTGGCGCAGCAGTGAGACCAGGCTGGCGGGAAAACTGCTCGTAACAGAGATCCACCTGCCTTTGCCTCTGGATGCTGAGTTCAAAGTGTATATTATATACCTAGCTTGATGGATTTTTAGTTTAGTTTTTCAATCCAGGGTTTCTCCATGTAGCCCTGGCTGTCCTGGAACTCTGTAGACCAGGCTTGAAGTCACAGAGATCAGCCTGCCTCTGCTCCTCTCCAACCCCCTCTCCCCGGATTAAAGATGTCTGCTGCCCCGACTAATGGTTACTTTTAGTTAACTTGACACACCCTAAAGTCACCTGGAAAAAGAGTCTCCATGAGGGACTGTCTAGGCCAGGCTGGGGACTGTCTTGACCGTTACTTGATGTGGGAACACCCAACCTGCAAGTGGGAAGCATTTCCCCTGGGTCTGGGTCCTGGACTGCGTACAAAAGAAGCCGAGTTGAGCACAGGCACGCATGCGTCCTCTTTGTTATTGGCTGTGGACGTGACCAGAAGCTTCAGGTCCCCACTGCCTTGACTGCCCCAGAATAGTGGGTGCGACCTGCAACTGCAAGCTGGATAAACCCATTCTCCCTGAAGTTGCCTTTGCTGAGGTGTTTATCACAGAAACAGAAGTGAAACTAGGACTGTGTGTGAGTGTGTGTGAGTGTGTGTGTGAGTGTGTGTGTGTATGGTATGTGAGTGTGTATGGTGTGTGTGGTGTGTGTGTATGGTGTGTGTGTATGTGTGAGTGTGTATGGTGTGTGTGTGTATGGTGTGTGTGTGGTATGGTGTGTGTGTGTATGGTGTGTGTGTGGTATGGTGTGTGTGTATGTGTGTGTGTATGGTATGTGTGTGTATGGTGTGTGTGTATGTGTGTGTGTGTATGGTGTGTGTGTATGGTGTGTGAGTGTGTATGGTGTGTGTGGTATGGTGTGTATGGTGTGTGTGTGTGTGTGTGGTGTGTGTGTGTGTGTCTATGGCACGGGACAGCCTCAGGGGTCAGTCTGCACCTTCCACCTTGTTTGAGGCAGGGTCTCCTACTCCGCTGCTGTGTACACAAGGCTAGCTGGCCAGGGAACTTCAAGGGTTCTCATGTCTCTGCCGCCTGTTTTGCTGTGGGAGTATTGGATCACAGACACCTACTACCATGTCCACTTTTCACGTGGGTGCTGGGGTTTCGAATTCAAGACCTCCCACTCCACAAATACTTCATCCCTCTCTCTAGCCTGGCTTCTCGGCTCTGAAGAAGAGTATGGGTAGATGTGGTGCTAGATATAACTGTAGCCATTTTGTGACCATAAGGGAAATACACAGACCTTGGCCCAGAGCCCAGTGTCCTTTAACTACGCCATCTCTTTTTGTAATGGTTTGATGGGGAAGGGGTTGAGTCTCTCCTTCCTGTTCCTACACCCTTGGCACGTGACTGCAGCTGCCTGTGGACTGTGGACCTGAGCTGTCAGAGGACTTGCTCTGCTTAGGGATAAAGTGGCACAGTGTTAATCCCAAGCCTCTAGAAGCCATTGGCGGTGTCCCTTACTCTTGGGACCATGGTTCAGCCATGTAGGCAATCCTGGGCTAGCCTTCTGGAGAATGAGCGGCCACATGGAACAGAACCAAGTTAGTCTAGTCTTCCTAGGCAAGGCCTTACATGTGCTTGAGCCCTACCAAGCAAAACCATGTAGCCAACCCTTTGATGAGCACAGATACAGCAGACAGGCCAACCAACTAGGCACAAAAGAACCGACTAGCCAGGGCCAAATCCAGAAGCAATAATAAACTTATTTTAAAGTCATAAGTTTTAGGGTGTTTTGTTACACAGCAGTAAGTAACTACAATATCGTTGCCTAAACTGTACTCTCCATGGACCGCAGTCCCCTCCAGGGCAAAGCATCCTCCCCTCCTCACCTGCTTTCCTGCTCCAGCTGCTCCTCTGCCTGGGCCAGTTTGGACTCAAGAGCAGCAATCAGCATCTTCTGCCGGGCTCGGGCTCCAGCATCCTCTTCACCCAGGCGACCCCGCAGCTCCTGGATCTGCCGCTCCAGCTGCTGCCTCCCGCTCTCAGCCTTGGCTGAGAAGCTGCGTTCAGCAGACAGCTCTGTAGTGAGGGACTCTACCTGCAGCAGGGGAGGAGATGGTGTGGTGAAGCCTCAGAAGGAACAAGCTGGTGGCAACCCACAGAACCTCCTGGGATGAGCTGAGCCGATGGCTGCCAAATGCACAGCTCCGAGACAGCACGGAGACGGGGGGGGGGGGGGGGACTCTAAGCACTCAACAACAACATTTCAACACGCTCAGGAAAGACAACCCACAGCAAATGGTACCTTTTACTTTTTAGTGAACAAGAATGTTTCAAATTTATTTAAAATGACTCAAAATTATTTAAATCTATTTAAATGTAGTCTTAACATTTTTATTTGAGTGTCTCATGCAGCCCAGGTTGACCTAGAACTCACAAAGTAACTGAAGATGACCTAGAACTCCTGAGCTTCCTTCCTCCACCTCCCAAATGCCGGGATGACAGGCACGCACCACCGCACCAGGTTCAGCGCTGCTATTTTAGGGAGTCCCAGAGATGGCCACAAGCTTGTTTAAATGCTCTAAATCTGTGGCTGTGAACTAGGCTATTTCAGGCCCTTCACACTCTTCTCTGCACCAGGGTCACCTGAGGGGCCTGTGAAAAGTGCGGGCTCCTGCCCCTCCCACCAGACTCTGCCAGCCCCAAGCAGCACAGCCAGCAGAGACCTGTGGGGCCTTGTGAGGAGCGAGGCCTCCATTCACAGCAGCTGACAGATGTGTAGGCTCAGCCTCGATCCTAATAACAGAACCTTGCCGCCCTCAGCTTGGAAGACATGCGGCCCAGGCTCATTAAAGCTTTTGCATCTCGGTGGCATCGCCTCCCAGGGCACATTCATGAGCCCAGCAGCCCTCCTCCCGCCTTTGAAATTTTAACTGTAAAGAGAATGCTGGCAGGGGATGGCTAGGACTCAGTTGGTAGAGGGCTTGCCCAGCACAGAAGGATCCCTGGTTCCCCAGTATAATCCAGTTCGGTGACACATGTCTGTCATCACAGATGGGGGCCGGAGGATGAGGACAGCAAGGTCATCCTCAGGCTACAGAAAGCATTCCTGAGCTACGGGAGGCTCTGCCTGAAAACTGAAAGAAAAGTGCTGCGGGTTGCTACGCAAACCTGCGTCCAGTCCGTTTTCCCAGTACAGGGAAGGCTGTGAAGGGAGGGTCCTGTGTCTCAAGGCCAGGACCCCGCCTTACACTTCCACCTGCACTGACTGTGCTGATGACAACTAACAAGTTTTCTTCATTAATGTGTGCAGCCGTCCATTCATACGTCAGTGTTTACTCTTTGTTGCCCTGGCTGGCCTTGAACCTGTGACAATCCCCCTGTCAACTCTAGAAGGTACTGGGATTACAACTGTGGGCTGCCACACCTTGATAGTTCACTTAATTACTACTTCAAGCGTGTCTGCGAGCCCTCGGAGTTACAGATGGATCGGCAGCCTTGCCTTCCTGACTTAGGGGCTCCCCTGCTGGGGGAGGGCCGACCTGGCCTGCTGTGCCCTCGGAGTTACAGATGGATCGGCAGCCTTGCCTTCCTGACTTAGGGGCTCCCCCTGCTGGGGGAGGGCGGACCTGGCCTGCTGTGCCCTCGGAGTTACAGATGGATCGGCAGCCTTGCCTTACTGACTTAGGGGCTCCCCCTGCTGGGGGAGGGCGGACCTGGCCTGCTGTGCCCACCTGTAGCAGCAGCTTGCGGTAATGGTCCTTGAGTATCTCGGCGTTGTTCTGTTCTTCCTCCAGCTCCTCTTCCAACTGCCCCAGGCGCCCCTCCAGCTGCCGTTTCTCCTCCAGGATGGCTGTCCTAAAGGAAGGTAAGGTGTTGGTTGCTTCGCTGAGCAGGCCTGCAAGAGGAGCATGCCCAGCTCAGGGCACCAGGACACTCACTTGCTAAGGTTGCCAGTGGCCACCTCCTCTGCCATCTCATCTCTGTCCTGCTGGGCCTGCCTCCGGGCTCGGTCTGAGGCAGCCAGTTCCTGTAGGGACCAGTCAGGGGCGGAGGGATGAGGACGGCAAGGCTTTGCCATTAACCCATTAACCCTTCTCTACCCTTCACCCGTGGCCCCACCCCCACCCCACAGGGGGGTTTTCTTAGCGCTGGCCACCAATGTCCACTCCTCCCAGCTTCTGAGCTGCGTCCTCTTCCATGTCTCTCATCACTGGGCCTCCCTGTCCCCACACCATCTGCAGGCCCTCTCTCCTACCCGTGTGCCCTCTCTTCCTCTACATCACCCCTGGCCCCCAGACTTCTCCCTCACTCCAGCTTCCTGCTCTTGACTTCCCGTCTTCCTCATCTTCCTAGACCGGCCTTGGCAGCTCCTGCTCTGGTTCCCAACAGCCCCCAGGACAAGGTGCCCCACTCCCAAAGAAAGCAAGCACAGGGAGCCCCGCCCACCCCAAAGTCTCCGCCTAGCGCCTGCTGCGAAGCCCCGCCCACTCTCCCAGGGCCTCCGGTTAAGCCCCACCCATGCCAGTCTCACCTCCTGCAGCCGCAACACCTCAGCTTCCAGTCCCTTGAGCCTCTTCTCACTTTCCTTGTTCAGGGTAAAGATCTCTTCCCGGGAGGTACGGGTCTCCTCCACCTCCCGCCACAGCTCCTTCATCTGGACCTGGGTGGAGTTAGTGCCCGGTGCCCAGTTAGTGGAGCCGCTTCGCAAGGACTCGACCCCGGCTGCTACTCACTATGGGCAAGCAGGGCCGGCGCAGAGCCGCGGTCCGTGCCCTTGGGCCACTTCCGCCCTTCCCTAGGCCTCAGTTAACCTCTTCAAGTGAGCCAGAAGAGGGAATATTTAGCCTGTGTTCTGCGGGCACTGCCTGGGCGCATGAGGAGGGGCCGACACAGTTCTCCTCCACCCAAGGAGCCAGCACCGCTATGAGGAGCCAGTGAGGAAAACGGCGGACTGCAATGGGAAAACAGTTGTTATCACTGTTTGTTGCATGCCTGGCCGAGGGGTTAAGGGATCCTTTCTCCAGGTGCATGAACTGTGCCTTCTGCCTGCCGCCGCATACAACGCAGGCACCTGCCGTTTTAAATATCGTCGTATGGGAGGTGGCTCGGTGATGGAGCCCCTGCCTAGCACTCATCATTCAAGGGTCTAGGTTCCACCCTCGGTGGGACCAGATGCATTGTCTAATCTAAATCTAATGAACTTAGATTTCCAAGTCTAACATCTGAACGGAAGGAAATGCAAGGAAGAGACAGAGCAAAGACAGCAGAGGCCAGCTTTTGCGAGGCTGCTAGCTCATCCGGCCACTGCTACTGGTGAAGGTGTGAGGAGACACCGCCCTGTGTCCCCGGCCCCTCGTGCCCGCAGCCGGCCTCACCTGCATCTTCCTCAGCTGCTTCACGGCCTCTTCCTTGCCCTGCCCAGCAGCAGACGTCTGAGCCTTCAGCTCCTCCAGCTCGGCCTCCAGCTTCTTGCGGGCAGCCACAGCCAGCGCCCTTTGCTTCCGCTCCTCATCCCGCTCCACCTCCGCATCTCTCAGCTGGGGGGCGGGGGCGGGGATAGGAGAGGTCACAGGTCATGGTACCCAGCCCGGCTTAGAGAAATCACATGTGAACTCGTGAGAGTTCACGAAGGTTACAAGGTTCAAAGCTCCCCTCTCCGAGGCCACACAAACAGTAACCACCAGCTGGAGAGGAAATTCTTGGGGGGGGGGCAGGGGGTGCTCACAGCATGTGCAAAAAGCTCCTGGGAACCGACTTTCACACGTGCCAGGGCAGACTTTGCTACGATGCAGTCGTCTGAGTTACCCTCACTACAGTAGTTTACCAAGCTGGACTTGACCCCTTTCTATGGTGACCTGGTGCCCTTTCTATCGAGGCTGAGAAGTGTGATAGTCTGCATATAACTTTCCATATCTTCCCTATCTTTCCATAGGGCGTGACCCTGTTAGGAGGTGTGGCTTTGTTGGAACAGGTGTGGTCTTGTTGGGGGAAGTGTGTCACTGTGGGGGCGGGCTTTGGGGTTTGCTATGCTCAGGACACTGCCCAGTGTCTCAGTCAACTTCCTGTTCTCTGCAAGATGTAGGACTCTCAGCTTCTACTCCAGCACGTCTGCCTGCATGCCGCCATGTCCCACCATGATGATAATGGACTGAGCCTCTGAACTGTAAGCTGCCACCCCAATAAAATGTTTTCCTTCATAAGAGTTGCTGTGGCCATGCCTCTTCACAGCAATAGAAACACTAAGTCAGAAGTCGGTACCGGGGGCTGGGGTGCGGCTGTGATAGGCCTGACCTGACCGTGCTTTTTTTTTTTTTTTTTTTTAAGGCTATGGACCATGGGGCTGTGGATTAGAAAAGAAGTGGAATTCTTTAAGCACTGCGTAACCGGCCACCATCAGGGGCGTGGAGGACTGGAGCTAAGAGTCATGTGGACTGTGGGGTGGGGCTGACTCAAGAGTTTCACAGAAGAATTTCAGTATGTGGCCTAGAAATCATTCTTGTGATATTTTGGTGAGGGAAGTGGCTGCTTTTTGCCCTTGTCCGAAGAGTCTGCCTGAGGCTAAAGTGAAGGTTTTGGATTAATTCCATTGGCAGAGGAAATCTCAGAACAGCCTAGCACAGACTCTGTCATGTGGGTATTAGTGGTAACTCTAATGAAGATTATAATGAAAGGGAGCAGGCTGAGCAAATAAAGTTATGCAATGTAAATTTTGAGGAGAAACAGAACATCGGGAGGTGGAATGGGGCTGAGTCCTGTGTTCAAGGAGATAAACAGATGAAGAAATGGAGTAAAGGGACCTCAGGGCAGGACCCCACACAACTACGAACCCGACTTGTAAAAGGAAGCTAAAGCAAAGCTCAGAGCCTGCTGTGGTGGTGCATGCTTGTAATCCTAGCACCAGGAAGGCAGAGGCAGGTGGATGTCTGAGTTCGAGGCCAGCCTGGTCTACAGAGTTCCAGGACAGCCAAGCTTAGGCAGTGAAAGATAAAATGCTGGTGAAAATGTAATTTAACGAGGAGGCCATGCTGCAGCCCCAGCAAGCAGCAGGACTTGGTAGCTTTGGCCATGTGGTTCCAGGTTTAAGGTTAGAAAGAATTTACGGAATAAAGTGACAGAGACCAGGCATGTGTTGGGGTGTCCCTGCATGGAGGGTTAGAGAGGCCACTATGTAGAGAAGCTGTGAAGTTGATGTTAGAGATGCCAGAGTCATGAGGTACCTGCTGAGGAGAGCTACTAACAGGCAGTGGAACCAGCCCAAGCAACAGAAGTATGAAGTCGACAGCTGAAAGGCGTTGGAGATGTGAAGAGCCATTTGACCTCAGACACGGAGATGCAGGGTTTGGTGGGTGCTGTGTGCTTGGGATGTCGCTACGCTGTGGCACGTGTGTGTGTCACTGCCTTCTGGCAGGACAGAAGGATGGCTTCCTGATGAGGTGACAGCCAGGGGACCCAGGGGAAATGCTGGCAGAGGGCTCTCCGGCTCCGCGTGCTTTCAGTAGCCTGGGGCAGGTGCCCTGCCGCCACCTGCTGGACAGTACCTGCTTGACCAGCTGCCTGCGTCTCTCCTCGCCGGCATCATCACGGCCCTGCAGGTCACGCTCATGCTGAGCCTTCAGAGCCTGCACCGTCACCTCCAGACGCAACTTGGCATCCTCTGTGGCAGTCAGCTCGTCCTCCAGCTCTGTTACCTGTGTCCGCAGGTCAGTGACTGCCTGTTCAGCCACCCTGCGGGCTCGCTCCAGCTCGTGCACCTGGAGGGAGGGGGAGTGGGTTTGAGTCCCAGGCTAGGATTAAGCCGGTGTCCTGAGTAGAGTAGGGGAGGTATGGGGAGAAGGGCCCAAGTGAGTTCATTCCCTCATTCACACTGCCTACTAAGCACTTACAGCTGTCATCTTAAATTACCTGGAAACACTGTATGCAAACCTGTGTGTGACACCATGGAGAGTCATCAGGAAGAAAGTCTCAGGGAGGGGCTGTCTGCATCAGTTTGGGCTGAGAAGACCACACCCACCTTGCCCTAGGTCTGGCCCTGGACTGTTAACGAGGAGATCCCTGCTCTTGACTGTGGATGTGAACAGTTGCTTTGTCAAGTTCCTGCCTCGACTCCCCCCAATGATGGACCAGAACCTGGAACTTTGAGCCAAATAAATCCTTTCTCCCTGCACACTGCTTTTGCTGGGATGTCACCAGAATCAGAAACACAGCTGGGATCATGTGCTCTGTGTAGATAGAAAACCCCTAATCCAAAACCACAACTTAAAAAGAGGGCCCAGGTTTGATTCCCAGCAACCACATGGTGGTTCACAACCATTTGTAACTCCGGTTCTAGGGGCTGCAACACCCTCTTCTGGCCTCTGAGGGCACTGCACACATGTGATGTACATACACACATGCAGGCAAAATACGTGTGCACATGAAATAAGGACATTTTTAAAAGCTTTAAAAACAAAACCTCAAACATGATGAGATTTGCTGTTTTGATTTTTGGTAACTGACCTCTAGAGATGACCGCATGCCTGTCTAAGGTAATAGAGGGAGAAAAAACTTCCAGACATGACTTTGTCACCCAGCCAAACACAGGCGAAGGAGAAACGTAAAAGCATCTCAAGTGGAGCCAGCAGGTACACAGGAAACCAGAGTAGATGCCCTGTTGAGACCTGTGAGGCCGCAGCCCCACGCACGCTCACACGCAAGCTTCTTCTCTGACAGGACTGATAAGCTTGCCATGACCTTGGGGCTTTCAGATCTTTCCCTTCCCTGTAGCTGCAGCCTTCCCTTACTGCACAAACCCATGACTATGCTGAATTTACATGTGTGTGTGTGCTCGCGCGCACCCACACATGCAAACACACGTGTGCCACAGTACACACATAAAGTTTGGACAGTAACTTGCGGGAGACAGTTGTCTCCTTCCACCATATGGGTGCCAGGGATCAAACGGAGGTCAGCAGACTTGGTGGCAAGTGCCTTTGCCCTCTGAGCCATCTCTGGCCCACCGTCCTTGACTTACATTTCACTATTCACAATGCCTTGGAACTTGTAGCTGGAGCTCTGGGCCACTGTGCTGTAGTATACTAACTTGCCCTTGATTGGTCAGCATTCATTATCAGCCTGACACAGCCTAGAGACAGCTCAGGAGAACTCGAACTGAGGCGGACTGTTTTGCTTATTAACTGATACAAGAGAGCCCAGTCCACTAAGGACAGCACTCAGGAGGCAGAGGCAGAGGCAGAGGCAGGCAGATCTCTGTGAGTTGAAGGCCAGCCTGGTCTACAGAGCGAGTTCCAGGACAGGCAGGACCACACAGAGAAACCTGTCTCAAAAAACCAAAAATGAAAACCAAAATAGAGGGGGGGAAAACAACCAACAACAACACACACACACCACACACACATACACATATACACACACATTCACATACACACACACATACACACACACAGCACACACACATACACACACATTCACATACATACACACATACACACACACATACACACACATACCACACACATACACATACACACACCACACACCACACACACATACACACACACCACATACACACACATACACACACCACACACACATACACACACACACCACACACACACATCACACACATATACACACACCACACACACACACACACAGTACACACACACACCACACACACTACACACACTCACCACACACACACAGTACACACACTACACACTACACACACTCACCACACACACACAGTACACACACACACCACACACATACACACACTTACACACCACACACACACATACACACCACACACACACCACACACACACACAACACACAACACATACACACACATCACACACCACACACACACTACACACACACACACACCACACACACTACACACACACACCACACACACATACACACACACACACCACACACACACACACACACAGAGGTCACTGGGTGATGATAGTACATGCTGTTAGTCCCAACACTTGGGAGGCAGAGGCAGAAAGAACTCTCTGAGTTCTAGGCCAGCCCAATCAACAAAGCAAGTTCAGGGAGGCCAGGGCTACACAAAGAAACCCTGTCTTGAAAAACAAACACAAAGTCAAAACAAAACTCTGTGCGTGTGTATGTGTGTGCATGCTTGTGTGCGTGTGTACGTGTGTGTGCATGCTTGTGTGCGTGTGTACGTGTGTGTGCATGCTTGTGAGCATGTGCGTGTGTGTGATGGAGGATTCTGTTCACACCCTGCGAGCGTAGAATGCCCATTTAGCATTTGGGAGCGAAGCTCTTGGCTGTGATGTGAACACGTGACTGGGCTGTCTGTCGTGAGCACATGCCTGTGATCACAGTTACCCCATCACCTCTGTGCCCCAGGCTTGCTTACATTCTTGCCCACATCGTCCTTGCTGCTCAGCAGTGCCTCCAGCTCAGCCCGCAGAGCCCGGTTCTGCCTCTCCAGCTCCTCCCGCGCCTCCTGCTCCTCCTCCAGGGCCCGTGTGAGGGACAGGGCCCGGGCCTCTCGCTCCCGGCCTTCAGCCTCCACTCGCTCTCGGTCTTCCACAGCCCGCAGCACTGCAGCCTTCTCCTCTGCCAGGAGCTACAGGAAAAGATGCAAGAGGAGATGTTGGAGTATTCGAACTCTGGTCTTTGGTTTAACCAGAGGCCACCTCCCCAGGCCTCTAGAAGTCTATTAATCAGCTGCAAAGACACATGACCTTCTGTGTCTTTCATTGTCTCTGTCATGAACGTGGAGTGATGGCACCTAGGCCTTGTAAACAGTCAGGGGCTGTCACCTGAGCTGCTCTCTTCCTGAAGGACTCACAGCCTTCATATAAGTAGTCTGAGGTGTACCTGACAAACTGGGCCATCTCCTGTGGCTGAGAACTGCTTAGGTACTGTTCCTTCACACGGCGCCAAAGCGCCAACAGCAGATAGGAGGCTCTGGTTGAGGAAGTTGGCTTGCTAAAGGTGTCTTTTGTGTGACAATGAAGGGGGCTGAGAAGCCCCGGCCTTCGCGCATCAGAGCCGATCCCTGCTGCTAGCAAAAGCAGTCGCAGTCTGCAGTGACTTCTCTTTCTTGGACCGACCCCAGAAATAGAACACCTACAACCTTTGCCAAAGAAACTGTAGGGATTGGAAACTTCCGTCTCTAAATGATAGGCTTTGGGAGTGATGGACACTTAGTCTGGGACTCGTTAAAGGACTCTGACTTCTGCTGTTCATCTACTTTCCGCCTCCTACATGCCGCCATGGTGCTCTGACTCACCACAGACCCAGTGTGGCCATGGACCAAAACCTCCAAACTCATGAGCAAAACAACCTTCTCACTGCGTGAGCCAGTTAGTTGTCTCCAGTATTTGCTACAGTGACAGAGTGCTGACAGGCACATGGACCTCCGACATCTGTGATGATCATTTTAGTCCCCAGGCTGTGGAATACTTGGTTTGATTCCCATTTTCTAGATGGGCAAACTGAGGCTGAGATGGGAGCAGCAAGACTCAGGACTCATGAAGCAAGACGGGAGCACCCCAGGGGCACAATAGGGTGCTCTGCATATCATTATTCAAACTGGGACACTCAACATGGTGGCACTGTGTGACAGGCACAAACCAGGACACACGGGTGGCCTGCTCTATAGATGCTTTGGCAGAGGCAACACCTACCTGGCTGTGATACCACTCCTATTCACACTTCAAAACCTATCTCAAGTGTCCCCTCTCTGCCAGCAAGCGTCCCCTAACACCCCAAGCGCTTCAGGCCCTCGGGGTGGCCAGCTGGGTCACCTGGTCAAACTTCCGCTGCTTCTTCTCCAGAGCGCTCAAGAGCTGCTTCTGCTGCCCGAGGTCCACAGTGGCATCATCCAGCTCCTGCTGCAGCCGCCGCCGAGCTCGCTCCAGCCTCTCCACTGCCTCTGTTTTTTCTGCCAGACGCTGGGCCAGGGCCTCTGCTTCCCGGGCTGCACGGCGCCGAGCCTCCTCCCCAGCCTCCAGTGCCCCAGCCTCTTCCTCCTGGCGTCGCCGCCATTCTGAGAGCTGTGAGTGGGAGAGAGATGTGTGAGTGACTGCGGTGTGGGCTCCTGGCTCCTGCGCCCTAGCTGTAAACTGACGCCTGAAGATGGGAAGGAGCTGGCCACTGGGCCCTTCTGCCTTGCGGCAGGTGAGACTCTGAGGACTATCAAGCAGCTCTTCCAGGGTGTTGTCACCCTCAGCATGACCCAACACAGTCCACATGGGACCAAGGCCAGGTGACATGGGCTGAGGAAGAAGAGCAACATAATCTGAGGAGTCCGCAGGATGGGGAAGAGTTGAGATGGAGGAGGGGGCATTGGAGATGGGTTTTGAAGTACACACAGGAGCCTGCCAGTGGAAGGCTGGCATTTTTTTAAGGCTTCCCACACGCAGGGTCAGAGTTGTGTGAAGGGGTTCCTAATCTGGTGGGGAGACACATGGGTAGAAAAGTCACAGCCCAAATTAGCCAGAACTTGGCCAGAGTACAACGAAGGGTTTTGTTATGGATTAACAAGTAAGGGAAGGCCCCAACCGTAGAAGAGCATCCATTGCTGGGAAGTACCCGCAGAGGCTCTGTCCAGGGTACTGGGGGGCCCCGGCAGGCTGTGAGGAAGGGTGAGCTGGGCCTAAGGCCCCCCGGCCCCCGGTCAGGCCTCCCTGCCCACCTGGGCCTGGGCGCTCTGCAGCTCACGACCAGCCCGCTCCCTGGCAATCACTTCCTCTTCCATCTGCTCCCGAAGCCCGGCCGCCTCAGCCTCCAGGGCGCGCACACGGGACCCCAAGGCCAGCTTGGCCCTAGTCTCCTCCTGCAGCAGTTCCTGTGGGTGGAAGGGATGGTGGGAGTCAGGGGGAGGCAGCAGCGGGGTGGAGGGCGGCAGAGGGGGGCGCGCAGGGTCACCTGGGTGTCATGCAGCTGCGACTCTGCACTGCTCAGCTCCTTGCTCAGCCTGATGGCCTTGGACTCAGCCTCGCTCAGTGCGGTGGACACGCTCTCAAGTTCAGCCTGTGGGGAGGAGGCAATGAAGTCTCTCCCAAGTCCCTCTGCACACATGGTTGGGAAGCCAGCAACGTGGCCAGAAGCTATCGTAGGAGCTAACACGCGGCTGACATGGGGGCCCACATCCGGTGTTCCCAAAGGTCAGGAGTTCCTGGCCTCTGTGTGCATGGGGAAATTGTTCGGCTGTGTTCACGCCTTATCTGAAGAGGGAGCCACAGCCACGTCACCAACAGGCTGCTGTGGACGGTGGACAGCAGATACAGATGAGGGAATGAAAGGGAATGAGGGAGCTGGGGGTAGCGCCTCACGCCTTCAATCCCAGCACTCAGGAGGCAGAGGTAGTTGGATCTCTGTGAGTTTGAGGTCAGCCTGGTCTACAAAGTGAGTTCCAGGACAGCCAGGGCTACATAATGAGAGACCCTGTCTCAAAAACTAAAATACTTGAGCCAAGCTAGATTGGATCCGAGTTGTTTTTAGGGGGGCAGTCTGTCCTTGATGCCCTATTTAGAGTGAAACTATTCACATCCCCCCAGAGAGAGGCACATGACACCTCTGCCCTGCCCACCTGAGCTCTCTGCAGCTTCTCAGCAGCCTCCGTGCGAGCCCGATCTACATCACTGGCCCGGCCCTGGACCTCCTGCAGCTGGGACTCCAGGCGCCGCCTCTTCTGCTCACCCTCCTGTCTGGAGGTCTGCAGGCTACTCAGCTCAGTCTTCAGCTCAGTCACCTCGGCCTCCAGGGTTAGCCGAGTCTTCTCCCACACGCCTTTGCCCTGCATGGAGATGGGTGCAGTTGCTGAGGCTTTGCACACTCCATGATGGCTCAACCCCCATTCCCTTGGTTTTTGTTCAACACCCCCTCTCCTCCAAGGACCCCATCAATTAAGCAATTACTCAATTAGCACTTGTGCAAACCGTCCCAGAGGGTGGCTGGCCACTCCCTACTCACCCGCCGGGCTTGCTCCAACTGCTCTGCCAGCTCCCCCAGGGCCTGGCCATGCCTCTGCCTCAGCTCCTGCATGGCCACCTCGTGAGCACGGGTCTCCTCTTCCAAAGTCTTCTTCAGCTCCGTCACCTCCTGCTCCCTCTTTGACCTTTGACGGCAGAAGCAGGGAGGAGGCAGGAATTTAGAGCAGAGGGTTATGGGATGCGGCTTCTTTTCCCATCTCCTCTAAGGATGGGGGGGGGGCGGTCTGTGCTTCCTCTGAGGGTCTGGATGTGAAACCTCCCCCACAAGTTTGTGTCCCAGCACTCCAGTGCCTGGAGGCGCTGTTCCGCAGGGATGAAGAACCTTTGGGACACGGGGTCCAGCTCGCACAGGGAGGCTGAGGGTTATGGGCAGTCTGGGTTCCCGCCCAAGTCAAGATCAGAGCCAGCTCCCTGCAAGCTCCCCCACCGCACAGGAGGGGCTTCTGCCACACAGAAACCACTTTCTTGCCATGGGGTGATGAACTAAAGCAAATCTTCCCCCTCAGGTCACCTCTGGTCAGGTATTTGGTTGTGTAATTTCTCAAGGGGTGTTGTATCATCAAGGTTGAAGTCCTAGTCAAAGGGCCGCTCCTAGCGATGCCCTGCCAGAGTCTCTCCTATAAACTGACTTAAATTTATTTTTTAGAAAGACGTATTTATTATGTACACAGTGTTCTGCCTGCATGTATGCCTGTGCACCAGATCTCATTACAGATGGCTGTGAGCCACGATGTGGGTGCTGGGAATTGAACTCAGGTCCTCTGGAAGAGCAGCCAATGCTCTTAACCTCTGAGCCACCTTGCCGGCCCTAAATCTCCTTTATATTTAGTTATGCATATATATGTGGGTATGTGCATATGACTGCAGTGCCTAAGGAGGCCAGAGGGGGCATCATATCTCCTGGAGCCAGAGCTACCAGAAGTTGCAAGCCACTGAGTGGGTGCTGGGAACCGAACTCAGGTTCTCTGTAAGAGCAACCAGTGCTTTTACCACGGAGCCATCTCTCTCTCCAGTCTCCAGACTTCACTGAAGACTTGGCATGTTCTCAGTGGTCTGCAGTTCCTTTATGAGCCTCTTGTTGAGCTCTGGATCTGGTCTGACCTAATTCTTAAAGCGTCCCTGAGCCTGGGGGGGGGTAGCTGAGGACAGTGCGCGGGTCTGACTCTCGCATTCACATCTTCGGAGCTGGCATCTGTGTGGGTTGAGTCTCTGTGCAGATGTGCCCCACCCAGCCCTCCTCACCTCAGCTCCTGCTGGGCATTGGTGGAATCCAGCGTGTCCTCCAGCTCCCCACGCAGCGCCTCCAGCTCCTCCCCCAGGTCCCGGCGCTGCTTCTCTGCCTTGGCCCTGGCTGCCCTCTCCGTCTCCAGGTCCTCCTGAGCCTCGGCCAGGCCAGCCTGTGCTTCCCGCAGGGATTTGAGCAACTGGGCACGGGCACCACCCTCCTCCTCTGCCCTGGGGGTGTGACAAGGGCGAGGGAAGGGTTGGCACGCGGGCAGACAGAGCTGAGGGTGAAGTTCAGGGGCTGAGACATCAGCTGTGGGTTCAGGTCCCGGCTCTGTCATTGGTCATGTGATTCCTGCTCCCAAATTCTCCATCCCCTGGGTGTGCAGTAGAGTGCTACCCACAGTTCTCCCGGGAGACATTGGGCGCCTGCCATGTCTTCTTGGGGTTTTTGCAGTTGTTACTTTTTAGGACAGGGTCTTTCTAAGCTGCTCAGGCTAGCCTTAAACTCATGGCAATGCTCCTGTCTCGGCCTCCCAGGGATGACAAGCATGTGCCACCATGCCGGGCCATTTCAACTTCTGTGTATATGAACAAGTGGAGGCCAGAGGTGTCTGCCTCAAATCCCTTCTCCACCTTACGTTTCTAAAGATTTACTTTTTCATGTGAACAAGTGTTTGCCTGCACAGAGGCAGGTCCACCACACGTGCCGTGTCCACAGAGGTCAGAAGAGAGTTGTATCCCACAGAACTGTAGACACAGATGGTTGTGAGCCTCCATGTGGGTCTTCTGCAAGAGCAGCCAGTGTTCTCAACCACTGAGCTACCCCCAGGCTTCCTAACCCACATCCTAACACCTCTGCAGTGGAGTTACACTCACAAGCCAAGGTTCCTTGGAAGGCCTCACTCACATGCAATACGCTCAATTGTATTTCAAAGAGGCACCATGGCTTGTATGCAGTAGTGGCTCAGTATGTGCACAGAGCTGTGCTGTGTCCCGGCTGGCGCAGGTGGAGTTGCCCCAGAAGTCACCTGACCAGGGCAGCCTGCAGCTCCTCTTCCTTGCGGGCCAGCTGTGCAAGCAGCCCCTCCGCCCGCTGCTTCTGCTCTGACATCTGTTCCTGCAGCTCGGAACTTTCCCCATCCAGCCGCCGTTTCATCTTCTCCAGTTCCTGGCGGCCTTTTTCCTCCTTCTTCAGCCGGTCTGTGGGCACCAGGACAGGTGAGGGCTGCAGGCTGAGGGCAGGCACCACCCACCTCTCCCCTCAGGCACACAGCCCTCGCTGGCTCCCGGCCGCTCACCCTCCATGTCTGCAATGGTGGCTTCGTATTTGAGTCTGAGCTTATTGAGGCTCTTGACTTTCTCCTCCTCTTCAGCCGCCTGTGAGGAGAACTCGGACAGGCGCTCCTCCAGCAGCCTCCGCTCCTGGGGACAGAAGAGGCTCAGGATCCTTGTCCTCTCTGCTGCTGGCGTCCTGCCCTGCCCAGCCTCTGTCCACCCTTCCTTCCCCTCCATCCCAGAGTCTGGGCCCAGCCCACCTCACAGGTGCTCACTCAACAGCATGAAGCCACCAGCACCCAAGGACAGAGCTTGGGACAACATGGCAGGCTGTCCCCATGGGGCAGCCCACCCCTCTATCACCCCACTAGTTCACCGGACTGGGTTCCGTCTGCCACATCTTGCTTTGGCGTGCCGTGGCCCCCACCTTGCTCAGCTTGGCATTCTGGTCCTCCAGGAGGAGCAGGTCCTCCTCAAACTTCTTCATCTTGGCCTCTGTGGTCACCTTCTCCAGCTGCAGCTTCTGCCGAGCACCCTCCTCGGCTTCCAGGTGGCTCTCCAGCTCCTGTGGGCGGGGCAGAGGGGACCCCAGGGGCCCTGGGTGACACTGGGCAGCAGCAAGCCTTTCCTGGTCTTCCCTTCCCATTCGTTGGCTTGACAAGCACTTATTGAGTGTCTGGTGTATACCAGGCACCATTATAGACCCTGGAGATGGGTAACAACCTCTGTCCCTGCAGAAGAACTCAAATGTTCCCTGTGCGCACAGATTTGGGGGAGTAGCCACAGGGAGTGGCCTGCCCTGGGGTGGGGTAGGGTAGGGGCTCAAGACAGATGCCTTCAGAGCCAGGAGACATGGGCCGAGTCCCGCGGAGGGGACCTGAAGCTGACAGCCTAGCTCCACTGCCATTTGAATGAAATCCATGCAGTCTTCGAGCTGTGGACGCTCAGAGCTGAGGTTTGGGGTGGGCGTGGACGCGGTGCCTGGGCCCCCGTACCTGTATGTGCTGCTGCAGTCGCTTCTTCTCACCATGCAGCTGCCGGCTGCACTCCTCTTCCTCGCCCACTCGTGCCTCAAGCTCTGACACCACCAGCTCCAGCTCCTGCTTCCGGGCGGACAATCGTGCCCGGGTCTCCTCAGCCTCGGAGCATAGCTCTGCTTCTGCACGCAGCTGCTCGGCCAGGCGCGAGCGCTCCTCCTCTAGCTGCGGGTGGCAGGTACCAGTCAGGGGCCTCCACTCGGGCCGTCCCCACCTCCCCTAACCCCCCTAACCTCCCACCATGCCCCCATCGAGGCCTCTCTGCCCATCTGGGCACAGCCAGACACTGTCCCTCAAGCCCTGGCCCACGCCCTCTCCTACACATCCAAAGACCCACTCACCGCTCCACCCTCACCCTCTCCCAAAGCTCCATCCCAAGGCCCCAGGCCAACCCCAAACCCCACCCCTGCCCCCTGCCCGTGTCCCTCACCACAGCAACCCTGCCATCACACAGGCCCTGCCCAGCAGCGCCACCTCCCCATCCTCTCCATTCTGCCCTTCACGTCCTGCCTCACTCCTCGCCAGCTCCACCGCGGCCTTATGCCCACCCACTGCCCCTCACCGCCACTCCCTGGGCCCCGCCCTCCACAAACTGGCTCGCACCATGGCCACGCCCACGCGGCCCCACACGGTGGCTGCGCCTCCCTCCTCACCTGCGCCACTCGGCTCTGCAGCTCCCCCACTTCGCGGGCACTCTGCTGCTGCAGCTCCTGGATTTTCTGCAGCTCCTGGGCGCGCGCCTGCAGCACCTCATCCTGTCGCGTCACCTGCAGCAGGGGCTTCACCTGGGGGAAGCCCGGTACTTCCTGTCACCCCGGCCATGGGAACCATCTGTGTGAACCTGGGGTGGTCTGGGGAGCCCTGGCGGCCCGTACTTTTCTTTTGGGTGGTTTGGAGGTTTTGAGACAGGCTCTTATCTGTAAGCCAGGATGGCCCAGCTCTTTCTCAAAGGGCAACTGTGGAAGTCAGTTCTCCGCTTCCACAGTACGGGTCTGGGGATTGGCAGCAAACACCCTTAATCCGCCAAGCTACGTTATTATCCTTCCCCCAGCTTTTTTCGGTTAGCCCAAGCTAGCATCAAACTCTGTGTGTAGCCAAAGATGACTTAGAGCCCCTGAGTCTCCAGCTTCCTGAGTTCTGAGACGACAGCAAGCATACTCTAGCAACTGGGGTACAGCTTCAGCCACGGCCTCAACCCATTCTCCCGGTTCGGAGATTCCAGGCAGCCCTGTCCCCCAGCGTCCTGTATCAGACTAGTTTAAATCACTTGTCATCTAAAGAATCATGGGTAAACAGGGCATTGGTGGTGCACGCCTTTAATCCTAGCACTCGGGAGGCAGAGGCAGGCGGATCTCTGTGAGTTCAAGGTTAGTCTGGTCTACAGACCGAGCTCCAGGACAGCCAGGGCTACACACAGAAACCCGAAGAAGAGGAGGAGGGAGAGGAAAAGGAGGAGGAGGGAGAGGAAAAGGAGGAGGGGGAGAGGAAAAGGAGGAGGAGGGAGAGGAAAAGGAGGAGGGGGAGGAAAAGGAGGAGGAGGGGGGGAGGAAGAGGAGGAGGAGGGGGAGGAAAAGCAGGAGGAGGGGGAGGAAAAGGAGGAGGAGGGGGAGGAAGAGGAGGAGGAGGGAGAGGAAAAGGGGAGGAGGGAGAGGAAAAGGGGAGGAGGGAGAGGAAAAGGGGGAGGAGGGAGAGGAAAAGGGGGAGGAGGGAGAGGAAAAGGGGAGGAGGGGGAGGAAGAGGAGGAGGAGGGAGAGGGAAAGGAGGAGGGGGAAAGGAAAAGGAGGAGGAGGGAGAGGAAAAGGAGGAGGAGGGGGAGGAAGAGGAGGAGGAGGGGGAGGAAGAGGAGGAGGAGGGAGAGGAAAAGGAGGAGGGGGAGAGGAAAAGGAGGAGGAGGGAGAGGAAAAGGGGGAGGAGGAGGAGGAGGGGGAGGAAGAGGAGGAGGAGGGAGAGGGAAAGGGGGAGGAGGGGGAAAGAAGAAGAAAGGAGAGAATCAGCATCAGCATCCCGGGTAACAGACGGCTCACAAACACGGGAGCGCAGGCTCAGCCTCGCTCACCTTGATGAACAGTCTCCACCACTGCCAGTTCCGCAGCTTGAGATAGGCGGCACAGTTCCTCTGCATCACCCGCAGGGCGCTCTGCTGCTGCTGCCTTCTCTGGAAGGCCCTGTGGGCACAGGGATGATGATAGGAGCTGCCCAGCATGCAGCCGCTGTCACCGAGTTCCTTCCGGGGGGGGGGGGGCCTCTGGTAGCTCGGGCTAACTTTGAACTCCCAGACCCCCTTTCTCTTCCTCCTCAGTGCAGGCAGGGATGAGGTGGGCCTCCTACATGCCAGGTGAGCCCTGTGCCAACTGAGCTGAAGTCCCGCCACGGCGGACTTCCTCATCATCTTACACATCCTGCTCTTGGCGCAGTCCAGGCCTCAGCCTCCTGCCCTTCCCCTCAGCCCATCCCCCACACACTGACCCTGTTCTTGGCTCCCCAGGGCCCCTGGGAAAGGTTGCAGCCCTCAGCCTGGGGTTGGGGCATCCCTTCTCCTGGCTGTTTGCTCTGAGGAGAGCATCTGCCTGCAGCCTGAGATAGGTCAGGTGCCCTGCCCTTACACAGACCAGCTTTACATCCTCTGACCCAGGCCGCCTCCAAAGGCATGCCACCCCTCCAGCTGGGGCCCTGGGCACAGAATGTCCTGCAGGACCCCAGCTCCCTCTTGCGTGTTTGCAAGCCTTGGCCCAGCCTTGGCCCATCACACGTGGCCCAGCCCGGCTTCCCTCACCTGCGGGCCAGGTAGCCCCGTGCTGCCGCCTGGAAAGACACTATGATATCCGTGACCTTCAGATCCCGCTCCTCCTCCAGCTGGGCCAGGACTCCGGCACGAAAGAAGATCTTGCTTTGGCCAACACGGTATAGGTTGGGGTCTAGCTCCAGGGCCTGGATCTGGGGGTGACGGAAGGGAGGGGAGGAGATGGGGGAGGGAGAAGTGTCTAGAAGGACGATGGGGAGCCCCACCACCTGGATCCCCTGCCCTGGCACCACACCACCACAGACCCCACCCCACCTCACAGGCCCCATGCAGCATCACTTTGCAAGCCAACCCTTCCCATATGGCCCACTCCACACCACAAAGCCCCACGCCTGCACAGGCCCTGGACCCTACCCACCATCTTCTCACAGGCCTGCTTGCCATCCATGAAGCCCTTGGGAATGGCATTTGGGGTGAGGATCTCATAGCTGCAGCCAGAGGGGAGGGCAGAGGGCAGAGGACCATATGAACAATGCGTGGCAGGGGTCAGGGACACTAACCACCCCACTGAGACGATTTTGGATTTTTTTTTTTTTTGAGACGGGATCTCACTATGTAGCCCTGGTTGACCTGGAACTCTCTAGGTAAACCAGGCTGGCCTCATATACCTTCCAGCTGCTGGGATTAAAGGCGTGCACCACTATGCCCAGCTGCGACTTCAGTTTTAAATTACACAGCTTCACACACTGAAGCCCCCCTAGGCTCAGCTGGCGCCCCAGCCCCTTCCTCCTCCCCCTCTTAAACACCACAGAAGGGACAGTGAGACTCAGAAACCGGCCTCAAGCCCCCAAGCTGAGGCGGCACCCGAAGGGACTTGACTCCCTCCTGCCCAGTCCCCCGGAGCCCTTGGCTGGCCCAGCTCCCTCACCGTTGCCGGAACTCCTGGAAGAGGATGCGGTTGGGGAAACCCTGGCGGCAGATGCGGATGCCCTCGAGGACCCCATTACAACGGAGCTGGTCCAGCACCAGGCGTGGCTCCAGCTTCCCAGCCTACAGGGGTGACAGCAGGGTCAGTGCAGCCACCAGGGAGCCACAATCAGGGCTGTGGCAAGTGCTTTACCCCAGATGCACACCCCCGCCTCTCACTGGGGGCCTCCAGGATGGTGCTTTACCCCAGATGCACACCCCAGCCTCTCACTGAGGAACTCCAGGATGGTGCTCTACCCTGATGCACACCCCCAGCCTCTCACTGGGGGCCTCCAGGATGGCGCTCTACCCTGATGCTCACCCCGGCCTCTCACTGGGGGCCTCCAGGATGGCGCTCTGCCCTGATGCACACCCCCAGCCTCTCACTGGGGAACTCCAGGATGGTGCTCTACCCTGATGCACACCCCCAGCCTCTCACTGGGGAACTCCAGGATGGTGCTCTACCCTGATGCACACCCCCGCCTCTCACTGGGGGCCTCCAGGATGGCGCTCTACCCTGATGCACACCCCGGCCTCTCACTGGGGAACTCCAGGATGGTGCTCTACCCTGATGCACACCCCGGCCTCTCACTGGGGGCCTCCAGGATGGCGCTCTGCCCTGATGCACACCCCCAAACCCTTAATAACAAGTGTTATTAAGTTGCCCAGGTTGGTTTTGAACTGGTACTGTAGATGACATTGGCCCTGAATTTAACTCTTTTCCTGTCTCGTTGCCCCTCGTGCAGGACTGATAGGCCTGGCCTGTATCTCAGCAGCCTTTCCCATCCCTTATTCTCAGCGCGCCCCTATCTGCCTCTGGGCCTTTACACAAGCTATCTCTGCTTGGAAAGCTGCTTAGGCTGCACAGCTCGGTCACCTCCCCTCCAGGGAGCCTCCTGTGACTCCCCGGGTAGGTAAAATCTAGCTGACCCTTCTCAGCCCTCAGATCCTCCTGAACATTCACTTTGGGTGGTTAGCTGGAGTGTGTTTTATAAAACACTCCTTTTGCCCAGTCATCAGAGAACACGGGAACGGGACACTCTCGCTGGAACTGTTAGCCCCTTGCAGACACAGGAGCAACTGGCACAGCTCACCTCTCTGCCACCGTGTCCCCAAGTCCTATCTGTGCCACAGACACTCAGAAGCAGACATGGTAGCTGATTGGCCCCTTCCTACTCACCCTCTTCTCATGATTGGGGACGATGCAGCGGACAAAACTGGGGTTGGTATTGCTGAGTGTGGCCATGAGGCGGCTCAGAGATTCCTTGTAGAGCTGCCCTACAGTCCGGAACATTCCACGGCGGGGGCGACCTCCCGGAGGGCCATCCCCAAGGCTGCTCACCTGCTCCAGCCCCACAATGCCCTCCACTGTGGAGGGACAAAGGGTGTGTGTATGAAAAGGATCAAGATCAGTCAGCTACAAATCCATGCCATCCCCCTGCCTCAGCCTCCAGTGTGTGTGTGTGTGTGTGTGTGTAGGGCTGTGTGTATTGTGTAGGGCTGTGTGTGTGTGTGTGTAGGGCTGTGTGTGTGTATTGTGTAGGGCTGTGTGTGTGTATTGTGTAGGGCTGTGTGTGTGTGTGTGTATAGGGCTGTGTGTGTGTAGGGCTGTGTGTGTGTAGGGCTGTGTGTGTGTGTGTGTGTAGGGCTGTGTGTGTGTAGGGCTGTGTGTGTGTGTGTGTGTAGGGCTGTGTGTGTGTGTGTAGGGCTGTGTATGTGTGTGGGGGAGGGGGCTGTGTGTGTGTGTGTGTAGTCTGTGTGTGTGTATTGTGTAGGGCTGTGTGTGTGTGTGTGTATTGTGTAGGGCTGTGTGTGTATGTGTGTGTGTGTGTGTATTATGTAGGGCACATGTGGAGGACAGAGGACAGCTTGTGGGAGCTGGTTCTCTCCTTCCACCATGTGGGTCCTGGGAGACTGAGCTCAGTCTTGACAGCACACACACTTTTACTTGCCGCCTTGCCCCTCTGTGTATTTTTAATACATGGTCTAGCTAGAAAGCTCTAGAACCTCCAAGGGCTCATCAAGGAGGGAGAGATCTCATGCAGAGAGGAGTGAGGGCCGACATGTCCACCCGGAACCTGTCCCCCAGTCCCCAGCTGTGTTCTACAAGCCTCACACACGGTGCCCAGAGAAGCCCACCCCCGGGCAGAGGAAAGCACCAGAGCTGAGTGTCCCTGCAGGCCCAGGGGTGGGGATGAGAAGAGCCAAGCGAGCTGCTGGAGGCCCCTTGTTCTGGGGATGGGGGCAGGTGAGGGGTGGGGAGGGGCAGGTGAGGGGTGGGGTGGGGAGGGGCAGGTGAGGGGTGGGGGGTGGGGAGGGGCAGGTGAGGGGTGGGGGGTGGGGAGGGGCAGGTGAGGGGTGGGGTGGGGAGGGTCAGGTGAGGGGTGGGGTGCCAGGGGTGGGGGAGAGGCGTGGAGATGGGAGCAGCGGAAGGTGAGAGGGAGAGAAAGAAGCATCAGTTAGCACAGAGCGAGCTGGCAGGACCAGATATTGCCCACGACCTGTTCAAGTCCTGTTCACCTTTACATCAGTGGCTAAAGCGATTTCTGAAAATTTAGTAGCAAAGAAAATAATACAGAAGCTAAGTCTACTTGGTTTGCAGTCCTTTCCGCCCCGGATGCCAGGAAGCTCAGTTATGCCACCCCACCTGCAGGGGAGTGTCTCCTGCACACCTTCCCTCGCTGCTGGGGTGCAGGGGGACAGTTCTGGGGTCAAGGCAGCCACAGACAGAGGGATATCAAATGGCCCAGTTCCCTAGCCTTCCCTTTCTCCTGCGCTTGGAGGAGCTTTGTTAGTGGCCCCCTGGGGAAAAGAGTTAGCACCTGCCCAGAAGACCAGGGCTGTGGCTCAGAGTCAGGCCCAGGAGGGATGGGGGGGGGATGATGTGTCCCTAGTGCCCATGAACTATGCAGATTGGGTTTTGTTGTTGTTTGGTTTGGTTTTTTTCATGACAGTTTCTCTGTGTATCCCTGGCTGTCCTGGAACTCTCTTTGTAGACCAGGCTGTCCTTGAACTCACAGAGATCTGCCTGCTCTGCTTCCCAAGTGCTGGGATTAAAGGCGTGTGCCACCGCTGCCCTGCCAGAACTATGTAGATTTTGAAAAATGATATATTTTCATTATTTTAATAGTGTGTGTATGCATAAGTGCGTGTGAATGCAGGTGCCTGTGGAACCCAGGGGTGCTGGATCTTCTGGGGTTAGAGCGGCTATGAGTGGCTGTGAGACTCCGACATGGGTGCTGGCTGAACCTGGGTTCCCTGCGAGAGTGTCTTGCTCTTAACCATTGACCGTTTTTTCCAGCCCCAAAACAGTTTTATTAAAGGTGGGAATGGCTCAACTTGGTTTTTTTCTTTCTTTCCTTCTTTCTTTTTCCTTTGTGTGTGTGTGTGTGTGTGTGTGTGTGTGTGTGTGTGTGTGTCGTTCCTTTTTTGACAGCCCTGGCTGTCCTAGAACTCATTATGTAGACAAGCCTGGGCTCAAACCTGTTGCCTGAGTGCCAGGATTAAAGGCTTGCACCACCATGCCTGGCTACATATATCTATATAAAGTCAGCTTTGCACATATTCAGGCTCTGCAATTCATGATTGAACAACTAATTAAAAATAGTCTAAGAAAGAGAGTCTATACTGAACACAGAACAGGCTTTTTCCTGCCATAGTCTCTAGTAATAGTGTAATGCTATTTACATATCATTTGCATTATGTTAAATAAATAGAATAAGGGATGACTCAACCTATAGGGAGAGAGGAAAAAAGTATACAAGAAGATGTGTGTGTCGAATATGAATACTACGATATCCTGTATAAGTCTTTGAATGGCACAATGTCCTGTGGGTCTCAAGGACAAGTGCACTTATCTTTCTGGTCTGATTGTATAGGAGACTATTAGTGAAAGCAATTATTGACACTAATATGTCTTATGTCTTAGCCTTAGCCTTATGTAAGATGCTAATTTAAGATACTAACACATCCATGCATCCATGCATCTGCCTACCAACCCACTCATCAACCCATCTAACTTTCCATCTAAACATCTATTGACCTGCCCATCCACCTCATCCACCAACCCATCCACTCACCTACCAATTCACTCAGCCACTCACCCCATCCACCCACCCGCCCATTCCTCTCTCCCTCTCCAGCTGCTGCTCCCTGGGGTTGGGAAGGCGCCCAGACTCTGAGGACAGACCCTGGGAAGGGCGACCTTACCATCCTTCCAGATCTCAGCTGTGAGGCGATCTGTACTCTGGTGAAGCAAGGCAGCCACACTGTCATTCAATGGGTCCATGTTCTTCATCAGCCACTCATTGGCTTTGTAGTCAACCTACCGGAACCAGACAGGTGACAGGTGACAGTATGACGTGGGCTCCGTCCCCGGGCGCCTGACATGGACTGGAACGCTGGCATCAGCTTGCGTCCATCCGTGACCCTCACATTACTTGCATGCCCCTCTCCACACGCCCCCTCCTGTAGCCCATCCCTTTGCCCTCCATAACCACAGCACTCTTCTCGTTCATGCTGCTCGCCACACAGGCCTGTTCCCACCAAGGGCCAAGCGTGAGACTCTGGATCTGACAGGTGCTTGACTCGTCTTGTGCCCGTTGTATCATCTGAGCCTATGTACCCTTGGGCCACGTGGAGAGCCCTGAATCCTTGAGTGGGGGTCCACAGTCAGCCTAGCCCTCACCTTGCCTGCATAGTGCAGGACGCTGAAGTCTGCCTGATCCCGCAGGTGCCTGGGGCGCTGGAACTTGGGGTGGCTGCCCTGCTCCTGGGCCACCTTCTCCACGAAAGACTTGTCGGTGGCCTTGGGGAACCAGCACTCCTCGTCCAGGAGGGCCAGGAGACCTGGAGGGTTGGCCTGGCCAGCAAATGGGACAACAGACGTGAGATTCCACACGTGTGGGCATGGGCTGCTGCTAGCTCTCAGCGATAAGAAGTGGCCCCGACACGGGGGCGGGGGGGGGTTTGGGGTAGGGGTGGTTCGACCTAGCACTGCCTAGCTTAACCTAGCTTGCCTAGCACATGCAAGGCGCTAGGCTCCATCACCAGCACTGATCCACGCAATGACCCCAAGTCTGGAGCCAGGACCTCAAGCAGGACTTGCAGGGTCCAGAGAACCAGCTGGTCACAGGGATGGGGCAGCTGGCGGGACACGTCCTCTTTGGGTCTGTGCAGGGCGCTGTGGCAGGCACGGAGGAGAAGCATTCCCACAGGTGGGTGAGGTAGAGTGGGGCGGGGTTGGGTAGTGGGTGGAGCCAAGCTTTCTGGGTCTGGCCAGTGGACAAGACTGAGCTTCTAGAGTCTGGGCGGTGGTCAGGGCAGAGTTTTGAGTCTAGGCGGTGGACAGAGCTGAATGTGTGGGTCTAGCGGTGGGCGGGACTGAGCGCTGAAGGTCTGGCCCCTCACCGGCCGCTCGATGAGATCAATACAAGGCTGCAGGTCCAAGCCAAAATCCAAGAAGGTCCAGGGGATGCCCTCCCGCTGGTACTCCTCCTGCTCCAGCACGAACATGGTGTGGTTGAACAGCTGCTGCAACTTCTCATTTGTGTAGTTGATACACAGCTGCTCGAAGGAGTTCAGCTACGAGAGAATTGTGGGGTAGGGCGTGGTGAGCAGGGACAGGGACACCGAGACTAGAGAGAGGGACTGAAGGCAAAGCCGCTCACCTGGAAGATCTCAAAGCCCGCGATGTCCAGGATGCCCAGGAAGGAGGCACCCTGCCGCGGACTTCTGTCCAGGGCGCGGTTGAGCCGCAGAACCAGCCAGCGGAAGAGGCGCTCGTAGGTAGCTTTGGCCAGAGCCTCTAGCGCGAAGTCAGCCTGCAGGGTAAGACACACAGCAAGGTCCAGCCCACGTGACACTGGGTATGGATCAAGCAGGGCATCCCTGAACATGGGGCCTTCATCTCCCAGCTTCTTGTGTATAAACCCCAAACAGGACCACACAAACAACACTCTGTAATTACCGAAGTCCTAGTGCACCAGGCTCCCACCCTCCCCCACCTCTTAAATCGGAGCACAGTGCGAGGGCCAGATCCCAGAGCCTGCGTTCCAATCCAGTGCAGCCACTCAGAGGCTGTGTGATCTCAAGCCCTTGAATGAACCTCTCCATGCCTCGGTTTCTCTGGTGCTGTTAGAGGCTGCAGATGAGAGGTCCCCAAGGTCCTTCCTGCCCCAGTGGTTGTAGCCAGTGGCGGATCGCCTCTCTATCACTTCTGTGTCTGAGCTCCCTACCATCTTTGTCTGGATTATGACAGTAGCCCTGAGTTCCCTCGCCCTGGTCAAGGAGCCAATTATTACAGTAGCCAAGAGGTTCTTTATATAAAGGGCAAATGAAATCAAGTCTCTTCCCGGCCTCCCAGGGCACCTCCTTCCCGTGCTTCCTAACACCCGATGCGATCTGTTGCCTACGGATCACGGCTTCAGCGGCCTTCTGCCTTGCTTTGCGTGACACCACTAAGTCCCCTTCATGGGGGAATGGCTGGATGAAACAACCCTTTTCATTCATCTGTTTGGTCTCCATTTCCCTGGCACAGTGCTTCTCTCCTGTGGGTCACCCCCCACCCCATGAGATGGTTATGTTACAATTCACAGCAACAGCAAAATTGCAGTTATGAAGTAGCCATAAGACAATTTTATGGTTGGGGGTCAGCACAACATGGGCAGCTGTATTGAGGGGTCCAGCATGAGGAAGGCTGAGAACCACCGCCCCCTGAGGTAAGAGCCTTTATTTTTGTTTATGTGCAAACGTGTGCACACACGAGAGTGTGGAGCAGAGGTCAAGCTCAGGCGTCACTCCGGAACATCCTGTTCTTTGAGACGCGGTCTCTCACTGAACCCGGAGCTTATATATTTAGCTAGACTGGATGACCAGTGAGAGCCAGGGATCTTCCTGTCGCCGCTTCGAAGCTTTTCACGCGGGTTCTGGGCTCAAAGTCGAGCCCTCGCGCTTGCCAGGCAGGCACTTGCCGACGAGCCGCCTCCCCGGCCCTTGACCTGGGTTTTGATTACTACTTTTGTTTTTTCTAAGGCTGGTGACAGAGTAGGGACACCAAGCCTGTGAGCGTTAGAGATGGAATAAGATGTCTGAAGACCTAGTGACCTACTGAGAGGACTCAGGCGGTAAAGGCGCCCACTGCCAAGTCTGAAGGCCCCAGTCCGATCCCCAGGACCCACACGGTGACAGGGAAGAGCCAACTTCTGTTAGATGTCCTTTGGTTTCAGCGGGCACTCTGTGGCATGTGCACACCCCCAATAAATAAATAAACAACTAAAGGGAAGAGTAATGATTTAAAAGCCCCAGGACCACAAATCCCAAGCCAGTTTTTGCTGCCCCTGCACGGCTGGGTCCCCACCTACCTGCTCCTTGGTCTGTGCTTTCTGGACATAATCTCGGCCCACTTTGATTCGGGGCATGAGGAGTGCTCTGGAGAAGTCCGTCACCCCAAGGCCCAAGAGGCGGCAGAGCTTCTGGGCAGCTGAGGGAGGAGTGACAGGCGTTAGCACCCAGAAAGGGGAGGGCTCGTGGGAAGGGCACCACACCCCTAGCTGAGTAGAGATGGAGGATGCTTTTTCTGGTAGCAGCATCCTGAGCCCCAAGCGCTGGGTTGACAGGCTGTGGCACCCGGCCAGGAGCGATGTACATTTTCAATAAGAAAACTAGCATGAAAAGAAGCTCAACACTGAAGCGTTAGATGGGTGGATGTTTGTGGTGCAGCTTGGCGAGGCTGCGTGGGAGGAGTTTCCCTTTCTACCCTGAATTAAACCCTGAACCAAGCCATGTTTCCAGGCACCCGCCAGCCTCGCTGAGTGGATGCTTACTCTACATGCTCAGCTCCGCAGGAGGAAGACGAGAAGCCTAGAAAGAAACTCACTGAAAAGGACCAGAGTCAGACATGGTGGCATGCACTGCCATCCCAGTATCTGAGAGTTTGAGGCAGGAGGATCAGGAACTCAAGGCTTTCCTCAACTACAAAGAGAGCTGGGGTCAATATGAAACCCTGTCTGAACCCAATACTCCCAACCATGGGGTTCTAGATAAGAACACATAAGAAACTCCTCAAGGCATTAAAGGGAAAAAAGCAGGTTTCAGAGAGGCTTGTAGCCAGGCATTGTGGTGCACGCCTTTAATCCCGTCACTAAGGAGGCAGAGGCAGGAGGATCTCTGTGAGTTCAAGACCAGCCTAGTTTACAGAGTGAGTTCCAGGACAGCCAGGGCTACACAAAGAAACCCAGTCTCTACCCCACTCCACTCTACCCCCACCAAAAAGGCTTGTAATGTTTGCCCTCAATTAAGAAAAGAAACAGCCAGGCGGTGGTGGTGCACACCTTTAATCCCAGCACTCGGGAGGCAGAGGCAGGTGGATCTCTGTGAGTTCGAGACCAGCCTGGTCTACAAAAGTGAGTTCCAGGACAGGCTCCAAAGCTACAGAGAAACCCTGTCTCAGGAAGGGAGGGAGGGAGGGAGAGAAGAAGGGAGGGAGGAAGAAATAAAAGCAAACAGGTGTGCCAGCCTAGGGCAGCGCCAGGTTGGTGAACGGCACCCCCAGTGGTCACAGTGGGCACTGCAGGGCTGCTGGGTGGGTGGGGAGCAGCGCCCCAGTTCCCCAGATTTTCGGAGCTGTGCAGTTTGAGAGTGAGCTGGAGGATTTTATAACCAGGACAGAGAGCTTTGGAAATCCAGAGGGAGCCAGCCAACTCTATTTCTGTCTAGACCTCCAGTACACAAGCACAGGGTAGGGAAACCCCGTGGGAGACACACACCCTAGGGTGCAGACATCTCAGGGGTCTGACTGTGGGTAATTTTCTCTCCTTCCTTGACAACCAAATCCCAGCATCTGGGAGAGTGTCTGAGAGTTCGAGGTTAACCTGGGCTGCAGTGACACCCTGTCTCATGAAACATAAATCAAAAAAGCTGGGTGTGGTGGTGCATGCCTTTAGGGTCAACACTAGGGTCTCTGTAAATTCAAGGCCAGCTTAGTATGCATTAAAAAAAAACATAACAAAACAAAAAATACTGCACAGAGGACAGGAGGAGTGGGGAAGGGAACCCCCTGCCACACCCCTTTCCTGTACCCAAGAAACCGCGGAGCTGCTCCTAGCTCACAGCGGATGCCACTCACTGGATGATCTGAAATGGACAACAAGCCTCAGTTTCCCTGTTTACCCAAGGGCTCAAAAATAGCAGCTACTTCAGCTGGGTGGGGTGGGGTGGGTTATCCCAGCTTTTAAGAGGTGGATGCTCCCTAGGCAGTCATGGCGCGCACACCTTTGATCCCAGCACTCGGGAGGCAGAAGCAGTGGATCTCTGTGAGTTCGAGGCCAGCCTGGTCTACAGAGTTCCAGGACAGCCAGGACCACACAGAGAAACCATGCCAAAAAGAAAAAAGACCAAAATAAATAAATAAGTAGGTGGTTGCAAGGGGATCGGGAATTCAAGGGCACCCTGGGTTTTATGACCCAGTCCCAAAACGAGAATAGGAAGCTGCGTTTACAGGAAAGCATTGGTGATGTCCATTGTTTGGAAAAAACAAGGAGAGGGATATGAGCCTGGGTGTGGGAGCAGAGGCCTGCAACCCGGAAGGGCACTACTGGGGTGGGTGGGGACGCTGATAATCTCCTGTAGTGACTGGGTTGTCTCCTGCCCGGCTATTTAAAATGGAGGAAGCCTGGCCACGGTGCTCTGGGCAAGACCTCTGCAAAGTGCAGGAGCCAGAGCCGCCCTGGGTAAAGGGCAAAGGTCCCCAGTCTGGCAGGGGACACTGGCCCAGGTCTTACCTGTGTTGTCAGGCATGGTGGCTTGGTCTGTGTTACGCTCTTTCTTCAGGACAATGTTGCCAAACTGGAGGACAGCCGAGACAGTGCGCAGCATGGCTGAAGGACAGAGTGGAGAGTCACATGGGGCTGGGGACTCTAGTCTTAATCATGCTGAGGAAACCCCAGAGTTGTGCTCAGTGCCCCAGAGCTGAAAGCTCATCTGTGACCTCAGCTAGGTTTTAAAAACTGGCCCAGAGGTTAACAGCCACATGGTGGTCACAAGCATCTGTAATGAGATCTGGCCTGCAGGCACACATGCAGACAGAACACTGTATATATAATAAACAAATCTTTAAACAAACAAAGGAGTCAACACACTCAGCTTTCTGTGTTCAAGCTTTGCTTTGTTCTGTCTTCCCATGAACAGAGATATGGTGTATACGGGATTCAAAGGAGCCAGATGCTGGGCTGGGGCGATCGCTCAGTAAAGTAAGCAAAGCCTCCGTGCAAGCTTGAGTCTGAGTCTTCAGCACCCACATAAAAAGCTGGGTGCGGTGGTGCACTTCTGTAACCCAGTAATAAGGAGACAGAGGCAGGAGGACCCTTGAGGCTCAGTGGCCAGCCAGCCTAGCCAAACTGTCAAGCTCCAGCTGCAGTGAGTGAAGTGGTTTCAAAACTGAGTCATTAGGCTTGGCGGCAAAGTCCCTTTACCCATGGAGCCATCTTGCCAGCCCCATGGCCAATTCTTTACATGAGGATTAGGGATTGGAACTTAGGGCCTCATGCTTGACGGCAGGCACTCTTCCAACTAAGCCACTCCCCAGCCCCGTTGCTGACTCTGATACAGAGCTTGTGGCCAAGGGCGTTAAAGTCAATGCCACCAGGAAGGAGTCTCACAGTTGTTTTCCAAGTTGCTCAACAAAGCCTCTTTGCTCCAGCTCTGTGCTGCAGGGCGTTTTATACGGCAAAAGAACTTCGCCACTCTTAAAAGCACTTGCTGCTCTTCCAAAGAACCCATATAACTCCAGCCCCAGAACTTCTGCCCTCTCCTGGTTTCTGTAGGTACTGCACTTACACGCACATAAAGCAAACACACACTCACACTCACACACACTCACACACATACACACTCACACATACACTCACACAGACACTCACAGACACACACTCATACACACACACTCATACACACACACTCATACACACACACTCATACACTCACTCACACATACACTAACACACTCACACATACACTCACACATACACTCACACAGACACACACTCATACACACACTCACACAGACACACACTCATACACACACTCACACACACTCATACACTCACTCACACTCATACACTCACACACATACACATACTCACACTCATACACTCACACACATACACACTCACACTCATATACACACTCATACACACACTCACACATACACTCACACACTCACACACTCACACTCATACACACACTCACACTCACACACTCACACTCATACACACACTCACACTCATACACTCACACTCATACACACACTCACACTCATACACTCACACAATACACACTCACACTCATATACACACTCATACACACACTCACACTCATACACTCACACACTCACACACATACACACACAAATAAATCTTTTAAAAACTTGCAAACACATTAAGACAGGAAACCAAGTGAACCCCGGAAAGGACAGTGGTCTGGAGTGGCATGGCTGAGCATCTTGATTTGATGTTGGCTGACGGTTCCTGGAGCCTGACCACACTGCTCTGCTGAATGCCCCACAACGTAGGACTCTGAAAGAACAGAACATAGAGGCTGATATTTCTCCAGGGAATTCCCTGCAAAGGCTGAAAACCCCGAAATTCTGGCAACTGGTGGGGACGGCCCAGGGAACTGCTGTCACCTCATGGAGTGATCTGCACGTGTTTCCTGGCTGGTGGTCTCTGTCTCTCTGTCCCTCTCTCTTGGAGGGAGGAGTTGAGACAGGGTCCCATTCCATGGTCCTGACTGACCTGGAACCTCCCTATGTAGACCAGGCTGGCCTCAAACTCCAAGGCTTACCTGCCTGTGCCTCCTGCATGCTGGCACCTAGGGGGTGCACCAGCACACAGGCTTTCTCACCCTTATTATTTATTTATGTGGTTTGTATGTGTGCATGCAGAACACATGTGGAGGTCAGACGACAACTTATAGGAGTCGCCTCTCGCCCCACCACGTGGATTTTTGGAGCTGAACTACAGTTGGGAGGGTTGGCTGCAAGCTCCTTTTCTTATTGGTTGTCTAGCTGGCCCATTTCCTAGCAGAGTGGAATCGAGGATTCTTCCATCCTTTAAATAAAGCAATTTCTATTTCCTAGGCCTGTACCTTTCTGTGTAACTGAAGGTGACCTCCTGCCTTCACTTCCCCAGTGCTGGGATGACAAGACTGCACCGTGCCTGGTTTATCAGTTCTGTGACAGAACCCAGGACTTCACGCATGACAGGCTCTACCAGCTGGGCCTCAGCCCCAGCTCCTACCTCCGCAGTTTTTCGTAAGGTGTCCAGCCACAGACCTCAGAGACCTCTAACCACAGTAAGATTTGGGGTTACAAACAGAGAGAAAGTGAATTTGATTTTGCAAATGCCTTAAACCAGTGTAGTTTTTTTTCCAGGTGCTTGGAGAACCGGGATTGTGCTGCCCCCTGGAGGACACCCGGGGCACTGCGGAGGAACAGCTCAGCCTGTGACTCAAGGATATCAGCAGCTGTGTGTGTTACTTATCACCACGATCACGCAAGAGTTTTGCATGGGGCAGGGGTGGGGACAGCCACTGTGTGTCTTTGGGGGACTGCTGCCAATCCCCCCTTTTGGTGTTGTTTTCCTTTATTTTTAATTTTATGTGTGTGGTTGGTCACCCTCCTGAGACATTCTGCCGTTTGAGGGGACGGTGGCCTGCTGCACCTGTTTGTCACTTGTCTCCATGGTAACATTAAGGGTCAGCACAGCACTGCTGCTCCACAGCTGTTTCATTTCCAGTGTTTACCCAGTCAACAAACACGGAGTATTTCCTCTTCCCTGCACCACATCCATGCCAAGCATCTGACCTTCAAAAACAGCTCTCGGAAGTGAGCCCTCACACCTATGATCTCAATCTGCCAGATGGAGAAACTGAGGCATGGGATTCACAAACACAGGATCACTCAATTCATAAGCTGGCAGAACCAGATTCCAGCTGGGGCTGTGTGAGCTTTCCTGTTCATCGTACAGTAAACTAGAATGCAGGTAAGTTCCTGCACACAGACAGACACCAAAAGAAACCGGGATCTCTCTCCCTCTCTCTCTCTCACACACACACACTGTGGCACATGCTTGGGAAGTAGAGGCAGGGAGATCAGGAGTTCGAAGCCAGCCTGGACTACAGACTCTGTCTCAACAACAAGAAGCAATGCAGGTTTGACGAGATGGCTCAGCTGGTGAAGGGTATTGCCACCAAGTCTGATTACCTGAGTTCAATTCCCAGGACCTACAATGCGGCAGGCAAGAATCAACTTCACAAAGTTGTCCCCTGACCTCCAAGCATACGAGCATGCATATACAAACATCAAGTAAGTAAATGTGAAAAAAAGAATAAAACAAAACAGAATAGCAAATATTTAAACAGAAGCCCAGTATTGGAAGATAGGATTTGCTGGATAGAGGCTGGAGAGATGTCTCAGTGGTTAAGAGCACTGCCTTACAGAGGACCCAGGTTCAAATCTCACCATGCACGTGGTAACTGCAGTTTCTTCTGACATCCCTGCTGCACAGGTTTACATGCAGGTAAAACACCCATGCACAAACAGAAACACATCTAACATTTAAAAAACGTGAAATGTCCCGTGGGCCTCAGCTTCCCCAGCTGGGCAGTATGAGGGGGCTGGACTCACTGGCCCCTTGTTAGACCCTCTCAGAGTGAAAGATGGTGAGGGCTAGGTCCTACGTCCCAGAGCTGAGGCCTGGCATGTGCAAGAGGCGAGAGACAGAGACAGAAGCCCCTATGCTGGGTGAGTGCAGGGAAACCCTGTGTTTGGCAGCTCCCTTCCGTGTGAGGGACTCTCAGGAGCAGCAAAAAGGGGGTGCTGCTGGGACCAGGCAGAGTAGGGTTGGACACCAGTCTCGGCTCACCTGAGGGTGACAGCCAGGTCTGCAGGAAGGACAAAAGGGGCCTCAGTGTCCCTGTCTGTGACATAAAGACAGCTGTGATTCTTTGGGGCTGTCCCATCCAGTGTGGTGTAAATAAACAAAACAGAATCATTTGCAATCCAGTGTCTGGCCACTCTGCTCTGTGACACATCCTCAGGAGATGGCCCCATGGTCAGGACTCCGGGGACCTTTTCTGAATGAAATGCGGCTGGGTATGGCAGCTCATACGTATAGGACTGTAATGAGTCCCTGCTCAGAGAGCGACTACCAAGTTCCCGCCTGTGTTAACTGTTTTTCAGCCTCGCAGCCTGGCATCTACCCAAGGCTGGCAGGGAGAGATGCAAAGCGAGGAGGTCCTGTCCTGACGAGTCCGAGATGCTGCCTGCCCCGAGCTGCCCTCGGGTGGCACGCAAATGGGCATGGAGTGTCCATCTACACTTCTGGCAATGGGTAATGAGGTCCACGGCCACTCTGCTGTCCCTTTCTGAAGGGAGGTGGGACCGCCTGTCACAATCTCGATTTGAGTCGATGCAAAGAGGTAGGCTCTACTCCATACAAACGAAACGAAAGGAGGCAGCCTGCCACTCCTACAAAAGTATACAAACTTCCTAGAGGGATGGAGGGCACGCAGGTCCTGAGCTGGGGAGTGGAGAACTGGCGCCACCTTGTGGATGGTGGTGACACGGCTCCTCACAGCTAAAACCAGCAGAGATATGGTATGGCTAGGGGTTAGAGCCCTTGCCTGGAATCTCCCAGTGAGGGTCTGGGGATGCGGCACCGTGGTAGTGAACATCAACTCCCAGCACTAAAGTAAGTCAATGCATTAGCTGAATGTGTCTAAGAGGAGAGTAGGGCCCCAGAGCCAGGATTAGGGTCTCCGGCTGATGACGGCACACTGTGGCCCTATCTCTGGAAGGTATAAATGTACCTTACAATAGTGACCCAAGATCAGGCTGTAAGCACATTCAAACTCTGAAAATTTAGTTTGCAAAATGGAAAACTCCCATCTGCCACTGGACCTTCTACACAGCAGGCCACCAGCAGGAGGGTCACATGGGCCATCTGGTCGAGAGGCTGGGCTGACCATGGCCAGGTTCCAAATTTGTTTGCCAGTCGCCTGGTGGGGGAGAGTAGCCGTTTTGGAGAATATAAAGCCATGGTTAGGAAATGTGGTTGTGGCTGTGGCTGTGGGTGTGGTGTGGGCAGGGGTGGGCACAGTCAAGTACTGGGCACTCTGCACTGGGTCCTGGAGCCAACAAGAGCCCCTGGGGAGAATCAGACTGTGAGGTGGGGCCCAACTGATGCCCACACACCAGGGGGTCCCTCTGAGATCCCAGTCCATGCAAAAGGAAGACACCACAACCTCTAACAAGACTCTGTGGTCCAGCGGGGGGGGGGGGTGCCTGCCATCACAGTACTTTGCAGGCTGAGGCATGAGAATGTCAATGAGCACAAGGCCAGCCTGGGCTACACAGTGAAGTCCTGGCCAGCCTGATCTACAGTATAGTGAATTTCTGGACATCCTGGGCTACAATGTGAGACTCTGTCTGAAACAAACAAACCAAATAATAATAATAATAACAATTATTATTATTATTATTATAACAGGTTGTAAATGTAGTTCAGTTGGCAAAGTGCCTGACTAACATGTATGAGGTCCTATCTATGTTCAGTGCTAGCTGTCACGCCTGTCACCCCAGCACTCAGGAGGTGGAGGCAGGAGACCTAGGAATTTACATCATCCTTGGTACATAGGGAATTTGTGGGCAGCCTGAGTTACACGAGACCCTGTCTCTGTTTCTGATGTCGTTTGCTTTCTGTTGGTTGCTGTGATAAAACCCTCTGACCAAAGCCAGGCAGTGGTGGCTCGTGCCTTCAATCCCAGCACTCAGGGCAGAAGCAGGAGGATTTCTGTGAGTTCAAGGCCTGCCTGGTCCAGGGCAGCCGGGGCTGCTCAGAGAAACCTGTCTCAAAAAACCCAAAGGGTGAAACTAACCCTCTGACCAAAACCAACGCAGGGAAGACAGGGTTTACACTTCCACATCATATTTCATGACTGGGGGAAGTGAAGGCAGGAACTCAGATAGGAAATGGAGCAGAAGCCATGAACAAGGCTGCTTACTGCCTTGCGCTGCAGCTATGACCAGCTTGCTTACACAGCTCAGGACCACTTGCCTAGGAAAGGTCCCACCACAGTGGCCTGGGCCCCCAACGGTCAGTCAAGACCGGCCTCTACAGACATGCCCACAGGCCTATCTTATCACATGACCTTCAGCGGAGGTCCCGCTTCCCAGGTGGGTCCAGGTTGTGTCAATTTGACAACAAAACTAACCAGGACACTCCACCCTTGTCAACTCAACTCAACACATCACTGTAAGCCATAACTTTTCTTTTTCTGCTTGTCCCCAAGGGCTTTCCTTACTATCACAACAGAAAACGTCAAATGAGCTTCAAAGAGAACCCACCTCACACGTGGGAAGCTTCCATCTCTCAAACATGCCACACTTTCCCTGCCCCAGGGCCTTTGCACAGGCCATCCCAGCCGAAGAGTGCTCTCTGTTGCCCTAGCCAGTGCTTGCCCTTGCCATGGGCCTCTGTCCAAGCATCCTTTCTGACCACCTGTGCGGAGTTGTACCCAACTCCCACCCCACTGTGTCCTGCTCTGTGCCCCTCTGGACTCTGGCCAGTTTCTAGTACACCCTGTCATTTATATGGCTGGCTAATCTCACTTCCTTTGTTTCCCCAAGGTGAGGAGGGGATGTCCGCCCACTCCTCCCCTGAAGAGCTCTAGCCCCTCATACACAGCAGATACTCAATAACTTCCTAAACAGAAGCCTGGGAGGTGGATCAGTCCAAAACTCAGGAAGGGAAGAGATGGTTCAGTTCATAAGTGTGCTTACCACAATCCCTGGACCAACAGTGGCAAGAGAACTGGTTCCTACACACACACACACACACACTCACACATACACACACTCACTCACACTCACACGCACTCACTCACACTCACACACACTCGCACTCACACACACTCACTCACACTCACACGCACTCGCACTCACACACACTCACTCACACTCACACGCACTCGCACTCACACACATGCTCACACACTCACACACACTCGCACTCACACACTTGCACAATGCTCACACTCACACACTTGCACAATGCTCACACACTCACTCACACTCACACACATGCTCACACTCGCACTCATGCTCACACACACTCACACACTCACACTCACACTCACACACACTCGCACATACACTCACGCACACTCACACACATGCTCACACTCGCACTCACACAATGCTCACACACTCGCACTCACACATTCACACACACATGCTCACATACACACACACTCACACACATGCTCACACTCGCACTCACACACAGAGACACCCTCATACACACACTCATAAAAAACGGGCTGATGATATGGCTCAGCTGGTAAACGTGTTGCCAAGTCTGATGACCTGAGCTGACTTACATCCCTTGAACTCACATAATAGAGAACACTGACTCCCTCAAATTGTCCTCTGATTTTCACATACATGCTGTGCCATGTGTGTGTCCATATACTGCTTACACACAAATAAATAAAAATTTAATAAAAAGTTATGGCCCTAGCTGGCCTGGAATTTGCCATGTAGACTAGGCTGGCCTTGAATTCAAGATCCACCCTCCTCTACCAGGGTTAAAGACACACACTACCACACCGAGTTGTAGTACACCTTTTAGAAATAATAAATAAAGTTAAACTTTAAAATGAATCGAACAAAAGTATCTAAGATCAAGGTTGATCTCTGGCCTCCATAACCCTCACACGCATGCTCGTGCACACACACACACATGATCAAGCACACACACATGCTCGTGCACACACATGCTCCTGTACCTGCCCACACGCAAGCTCATGCACACACACACACACATGATCAAGCACACACACATGCTCGTGCACACACATGCTCCTGTACCTGCCCACACGCAAGCTCATGCACACATACACATGCTCATGCACACATACACATGCTCGTGCACACACACATGCTTGTGCACACACCACATCCGTACACACATGTCCATCTACACAAACTGAATATGTTCACACACACAAAAATAAACAAACAGATGCTTGAACACCCTGGCCAAAGCAGTAGTGGCTGTGTCCCACAGCTCAGGCCCACTTACCTGTGATCTCGTCCGGGAGGAAACCCAGCACGCGCAGGGACTCCAGCGTCTCCTGGAATAGCTCCCGCTCCTGGCCAGGGGATGATGAGGGCCCATTGGTCAGGAAGCGGTAATGGGAACAGGGCTCCAGGAGGAGATCAGCTGTATGGAGAAGGGCAGAAATCAGGCCGGGGCCACGTGTACCGTGACAGGACCCGCGCACCTGTCACAGGAGTGATGGGTGAGCCTGGGCTGGCAGGTGCAGACGGTGCATAGAACAACGGACTGTTCTTTTCGGGTTCTTCCAGTCTCCAATCTGGTGACCAAGATGGCCGAGACAGCACCCGGGGACACGTGTGCTGCCAAAGGCACCAAATGGGAACCAAGGTGGCAGAGAACAATGCAGGACCCGGGAGGGGGGAAAGCTGAGGAGCTACACAGTCTGACAGGTGGCTTGCCTGTCATTCTAGAACTTAGGAGACCGAGGCAGGAGGGGATTGCTGTGAGCTCCAGACTAGCCCGGGCTACATAGCAAGTTCTTGTCTCAAAAAGGATAGGAGAGACAAGAGGGCACACGTTCAGCTGCAAGGAGCGGAGCTGGCGACCGTAGGAAGGGAAGCAGGCACGCGCGTGGTGCCGGCAGGCGCCACAACGGATGGCAGCTTGCAGGCGCAACAGCACATGGAGCATGGAGTTGCCAGAGGCCACAGCAAGGCGCAGTCACCCACAGGGCCAGAAGGAACAGGGGTGCAGGAACGGAGCGGAGCAGACAGATTCGACAAGCAGGGGCGAGAGCCAGGAGGCAGCTGGAAGCAGAGGGTGGAGAGCAGGGCTGGAGGCCAGCTGACAGAACGCACTCCAGGAGCCCAGGGCTGCGCTGCTCGGCAAGCCCCTGTCCCCACACACCACAGGGGTGGCAGCACTGGACACACAGTGACCCTGTTCTCAGGATGGGGCTCCCGCTGAGAGTGCGGAGGAGAGGGCGCCTTTACGTCCATCTCCCACCCATTCTCCCAGGGCAAAGCAGGCTGGGAAGCGGGACACTGACCTTTCATCTGCTCCCCAGCGCCCCCTAGCAGCTGATAGAAGATATGGAAGCTGCATTCGTCCTTGGCCTGTCTGATGGCCCGGGACTTCTCCAGCAGATCTGGGAGGGAAAGCAAGTCAAGGAGCAAATAAGCTGCTTGCTGCCTGTGATCTCAATATTTGGAATGCAGAGACAGAAGGATTGTCATGAGTTCCAGATCAGCCTGGACTACATAATGAGTTCCAGACCATCATGTGAGCCCCTATCTCAAAATTTAGTTAATTAAAATAAAAATAATATGGAGCTGGCAGGATGGGTCAGTGGTTAAAACACAGGCTAGCTGGGTAATGCACACCTTTAATCCCAGCACTCAGGAGGCAGAGGCAGGCAAGATCTCTGTGAGTTCAAGGCCAGCCTGGTCTACAGAAGGAGTTCCAGGACAGCCAGGGTGGTTACCCAGAGAAACCGTCTCAGGGGGAAAAAAGAAAAGAAAAACTTAAAACAAAACCACAGGCTGTTTTATTTTTGCTTTGTTTGTTTTTTCAGGTTTTCTAGACAGGGTTTCTCTGTGTAGTCCTGGGCTGTCCTGGATCTCACCCTGTAGACCAGGCTGGCTGCAAACTCACAGAGATCCGCCTGCCTGTGCCTCCTGAGTGCTGGGATTAAAGGTGTGCACAACCACTGCCCGGCTCACAGGCTATTCTTAAACAGAGGGTGGAAGTTCAATTCCCATCACCCACATGGTGGCTCACAACCATTTGTAACTCTGTTCCAGGAGATCAAATGACCCCTTGTCTCTGACAGCACCTGGAACACGGTACACAGACATATATACATGGTAAACACCCACACATACAAAATAACAGAATAAGACAAACTTAAATCAATGGGAGACTGCAGTATGGTTCAATAGGTAAAGGTGCTTGCCATCAAGCTTAAAGATCTGAGTTCAATTCCCAGGACCCACATGGAGAGCCATCTCTTTAGCCCTCACCCTTCATTTTGCTTGGTATTTGGAGATGGGGTCCTGAGTGCTAGGATTACAGGCATGCCCTACTGTGAGCTACTTCAATGTGCTATATACCATTCCCTCGCTCCCTTGGGACTCTTCCTGAGAGTGTCTCATCGTGTTGTCTAGACAGCCAGGCACACCCTATACAATTCCAATGAGAGAACACTCTGGATGCCCACCCGGCTCTCCTAGAACCAGCCTTTCCTGTCTCTGCCTGGGCTCCTATGCCCCACAATCCCATAAAGCACAGCCAAGGGTCTGACCACAGGCTGAGTGGGACATCAGAAACGCAAGGCTGCATGGTCCCCAGCTGGGCATCACCATGGGGTCTCTGGAAGGACTACCCAGGGGTGTCTTTTCTGGGTGAGGGTTCAGAAGGATTGTCCTCCTTGGCTGCTACCCCATGGCCCCCAGGATCCCTCAGAGGATACATGTCTCAATATTCGCGCCCACGATGTAGCCAGCAACATCAAAGTTGATGCGGATGAATTTTCCCTGGAGCAAATTGGGGCAGAGTTTAAGTCGAGGGATCTCCCTAAATCCCCACCTCCCTACCACCCCAAGCTCTCACCAGTGGTGAGTCCCAGGCCACACACCTCCTCTCTCAAACACCAGGAGTTTAGACCCCTGCCTCCTCCCTCCACTCTTCTACGTCACCCCCCAAACGGGGGCCCCAGTCTCCCAGACTGCCAGGTGCACAGTCCCCTTGCTCACAAATCGGGAAGAGTTGTCATTCTTCACTGTCTTGGCATTGCCGAAAGCCTCCAGGATGGGGTTGGCTTGAAGAAGCTGCCGCTCTAGCTCCCCCTGCAGGGTATGGGAGACAGTGCATCAGTGAAAAGGGGGAGGAGCCTTCCTCATGGGGCCAGGGCTTCAGGCTGGCCTTCTCGGGTGGGCCTAAGGGGCCATGTGTGTTGTGGGGGAGTAGACAGGGCTCTGGGAGATTTGCTGAGTGGAAGTGAAACAACCACACGAAGGGGAAAATGGGGACCAGTCCTGTTCCCATTAATAAGAGACAAAGGTTCGAAGCCACAGCACAAACAACACGTTATTTCTACAGACACGCACGGTGGCAAACAGGGGGGAGAGGTCTGCAGGGTGCACGCCACCTGTTGACCACGCTCTGCTGACACGTTTGGTGCTGTAGCTCAAAGGTCCCTACATTACTTGATAAAACAAGATATATATATATGTATGTATGTATGTATGTATGTATGTATATTTCACGGCAGGATCCTTAATCTGAACCAATTCCAGTGCCTCAGTGTCAGAGCCAGGCACACAGTAGGTGCATGTGTTTTTCCAGGCTACATCAGTTGGTAGCTTTGTCAGATGGATAACAGGAGAGCTGCCAGGCACAGTGCTCACACCCCCAATCCCAGCATTTGGGAGTGTGAAGCAGGAAAACCGACAGACGTTCAAACCCTGCATGTGCTACAGAGCGGGTTCAGGGCCAGCCTGGGCTACAAAGTGAGGGTTCAAACCCTGCATGTGCTACAGAGCGGGTTCAGGGCCAGCCTGGGCTACAAAGTGAGGGTTCAAACCCTGCATGTGCTACAGAGCGGGTTCAGGGCCAGCCTGGGCTACAAAGTGAGGGTTCAAACCCTGCATGTGCTACAGAGCGGGTTCAGGGCCAGCCTGGGCTACAAAGTGAGAGCCTATCTCAGAAAAAAAGTAGTAAAACAAACAAAAAAGATGATGTGCAAAGTGAGGGCCGTGGCTTGGACATGTGAGAGCTTATTTCTCCAGCCTTCTGGGAGGACTGGCTCAGGTGTCTGGGTCATTGTGTGATGGCATCTGTGGCCTCTCTCTGCACACATGGCAGGCAGGACAGGTCCAGGCTGCACAATTAAGTAGGACTGGAGTATGCACACAGTATGGCTTCTCTGCAGTGGGGACTTAATTGCATGCACACAGTAGGGCTTCCATGACTCTGTGCAGACAGCAGGACTGCACTAAAAGCAGCATAGGGTCTGGGCATGTGCACATAGTGGGGCCACCATGAATGGTAGTGGGGACCCTTGCTTTGTGCACACGAATACTGGAGGGGGGGTAACTGCACGCATATAGTAGGACTATACGAAGAGACAGCATGGGTCTAGGCATGAATGGCAGGGGCTTGGCCACATGTACACAGGCGAGCTACAGTAAATGCTAGCATCAGGCCTAAGCATGTGCACACAGTAGGGCTGGCACAAATATTATGGGAGAGCTGTCTTTGTACACAGTAAGACGAACTGAATAGCAGTATGGGATACACATGCCAGGGCTGCCATGAACCACAGGATGAGTTAGGTCGCATTCACATAATAGAACTTTCCATAGGGTTGCTTGGACACAGTAGGGCTGCATGGAGAGTGGTAGGGGATCTTGGCTTCATGCACACAGTATGTCTAAGTTAGATGGCCATGAATCCCTGGTATGTGCATAGTAGGACTGCCATCAGTGGCCCTGTGGGTCCCGGGGATGCTGGTATGCCATTCTTGGGCCCTGTCTCCCACATGTCTGTGGGCTGGCAACCCACAAGGGGTGGCACCGGGGTGGCAAGGGGATTCCCTGCTACTCACATAAGACATGGTGCTGACGGAGGCCTGAGGAAGTCACGGGACAGGAGACATGGACCAGGACACGGCACATGGAACATGGACAGACACGTGGGTGAACTGGAGGCCTTAGGGCAGAGCTGGGGCTGAGGGGATGGGGAAATGGGAGTGGGGTGCAGGGAAACCTCAGGGATGATGCGCCCAGGCTTAAATCCCACTGCACCGCCCCCTCTGCCCCACCATGACTCACCCACCGTGACTGAGGGCTAAGACTCGGGACGCCTCTATAGCCCTCCAAATCAAGCACTAGTCTAGAACCAACAAGGCTAAGAACCAGCCTCATCTCTCCGATCTGCTAGCCTCTGGCTCTATGATGAGCACATAGTAGGTGCTCAGGTAGTACAGGCAGAAGTAGGGCCCTGTACCACCTGTGGGTGTGGAACGCAGCCCAAGACAAGGGTGCTGCTGTGGCAGGTCTGGGATGTCCCAAGGCTGCATGGCTTACAGGGACACCAGGCTCCTTCCTGCCCTTGGGAGACGACGCCACGTGGGCCAGATACTGGATGACCTTTTTGGTGTTCTCCGTCTTCCCAGCTCCAGACTCCCCTCTGTGGGGGCAGCAAGGGGGGTTGGAGTGAGCAGGGCAACCAGGCAGCCCTTCCCGCCCCAGTTATGCAGGGCCACGCCCACTGGCACTCTGCCACACCCACTGGGACCCTTCCCATCTGAGCCCATCTGTGGGCTCTGCCTCTGAAGCCCTTTCGGGTGACTCACGTGCAGAGAATGGACTGGTCCTCACGATCTGCAGGGACAGAAGGGAATGGTACGTTACCCACACGGGCCTCTAGTCCCCTGGCCCCCTGCATCTCAAAATCTTTCCAGAGACACAGGGCATGGCAGGATTGTGATGTACAGCCCTGCTGGGTTCAGATACTCTGTCCTGACTCTACCTCCCGCTTGCCGTCCCTCTCTGAGTCTTTATTTCCTCGTCAGTAAGGTGGGGAGACAAGGAGCCCCAACTATACAGACTATAATTCACCTGTCAGCTCGATTTAAGTCCCTACTGTGTGTCAGCCACCGCAGGCTGGGCCTGGCACCACCATCTCACCATGCACCCTCGCCACCTACTAAGTGCCAGGTCCTGTTACCAACATAAAAAGGAAAACTGAATGACAGAGCTAAGATAGAAAATCTGGGACCACAGGCAGTGACGAGAGGCTGGGGACCTCCCCGTCCTCAGGGGAGGTGTCATTTAGGGCACAGTCACAGTGTAAGTCTTTGGAAACCATTCAACCAGGCAATAAGTTGACTTCATTGTAATTACATGACCTGTGCTCTCCTGGGGTAAAGACCCTGTGGAGAGGTAAAGGATGAGGGTGTCGGTGCTGTGACAGCTAATCAGGTTACTCGGCGCAAGAGCTCCCATCGAACTTGCGGTGATGTATACTGTGACAATGCACCGGGTCTGAACTAAAGACCAGGTCTGTGATACAGGCTCCTCTCTGAGTCGCTCTGCGCCTCCATCTCCCTATCTAAAAAGCCCCTTAGCTAACAAGGCTGTACTCAGAATCAACATGGGTTGGTCAGCTGGCTCAGTGGACAAGAACACTGGGAGCTATTGCAGAGGACCCAGGTCCTATTCCCAGAAACCGCATGGCAGCTCACAACTATAGTAGGTCATAGCTTCTGTTTCAGGGCCCCCAACGCCTCCTCTGGCCTCAGCAGGCAGCAGACATGTAAGCAGTGTAGAGACATGCATGCAGGAAAAACATCCATTCCCCAAAGATAAAATTCATAAACCTTTTTTAACACCCGATGGTGGGGGCACACACCTTTAATCCAGCACCTGGGAGGCAGAGGCAGGCAGATCTCTGTGAGTTCAAGGCCAGCCTGGTCTACAAAGAGAAACCCTGTCTCGAACCCTCCCCCCAAAAAACAACTTTTTTTAAAAAAGCAAGATTTAGATAGCTCAGTGGGAAAAGGCACCTGCCACCAAGCCTGATGGCCTGAGTTTGAGTCCTAGGACCTAGATGACGATGAAATGGAGACACAACCAGCCACAGGCACTTGCCTAGCCTGCACCACGTGACTCAGGTACAATGTAGTGGTCCATACCAACAGTCTCAACAGGAGATTCTGGAGTCAAAATCACCCTTACCTACATGAGTGTTAGGGGCCAGCCTGGGCTTCATGAGATCATCCCCCAAACAAAAACGTCCAATGCAATACCCAGTACAGAATGAAAATGAAATTCAGAGTGGGATACGGGGCTTGGGGGAGGCAGTGGCCAAGACATTGGGTTCAAGCCATACTTCAGCACCTACCCTTCAGTGTGGCCATGGGCAGTAACTCTACTGCTCTGTGCCTCAGTTTCCCCTGCTGGAAATGAGTGATAATAAAAGAAACTACACTGCAGGACTATTACGAGGTTAAATGATGTAGCCAAGAGACAGGTCCTGGAGGACACTTCTGTGTCTTGTACGGAAATGGACTGACCTGTTGTGGAACACTAGTTTAAGGTGTGGTTCATTTGTTTAATGATAAAAAGATGTGTTAGATTCTTTTATGCTGCATTTGTTTAACTGACGCTCTGTCTGTCTAAAACACCTGATTGGTCTAATAAAGCGCTGGTGGCCAATAGCAAGGCAGGAGGAAGGATGGACGGGACTGGCAGGCAGAGAATAAATAGGAGGAAAAGAGAGAAGAAGATAAAGATAAAAGACGGAGGACTCCAGGGGCCAGCCAGCCACAGAGTAAGAAGGAAAGAAAGGTACACAGAAATAGAGAAAGGTAAAAGCCCAGAGGCAAAAGGTAGACTGGATAATTTCAGAAAAGCTGGCTAGAAACAAGCAAGGTAAGGCCAGACATTTATAAGTAAGAATAAGACTCTGTGTGATTTATTTGGGAGCTGAGTGGCAGGCCTCCCAAAGGAGTAAAAACAAAACAAACAAACAAAACCAACAGCATGGAGCCTGGCTGACCCAGCAGGTACTCAGTGACATCGTGGGCAGACCTACAGACTGCTTCCCACGCCCAGGGGACTGACCACAGACAGACCACATTCGGGGGCCTTCACACCAAAGGCAAAGCAGTTTGCCCTGAACTAATAAGAAACTAACAACAGAAAGACAGAGGGAGGGGCTGGAGAGATGCTTGACTGAGGACCTGCGTGGTCTCCTCCACCCACCCAAAAAGCGGGACAGGTGGGGGACACCAGTGCTCGGGAAGCAGAGACAACTTCCAGGTCTGAGGCTGACTCTGGTTCAGTTCCCAGCACTTATGAATGGCAGCTCACACGGCCTCTAACTCTAGTTCCAGAGGATCTGATGCCTTCTTCTGGTTCCAATGGCAACTGCACTCACATGCACATAGCCACACACACACACACACACACGCATGCACACACGCACACCTGTGCATGCGTACGCGTGCACCCTGGAAAAAGTCAAAAACAAAAACCAAGGAAGGAAGGAGATCACATAACCTAATCCATTATCACTCATGACCCGACACAGTATCTACTGTGAAACAGATGTGCCACATTACACATTTACTGCCTCTCTGGGAAACGTCTATAGAAGCCAGCATCAGTTGCCTTTCAGAACAATACTGCCGTGAACACACAGGCGGATTTTTTTTAAGGCCCGCGTGGCAAGAGCTGGAGCACAGTCCCCCTTCAGGTGTGTTCCCAAACTGCCCTTCACGCCTGGCCCTGGTTCCCAGCAGCACTCAGTGTCCGGTCTGCTCCCCCCACAGAGCTGCCCATACACTCACCCTGCAGCATGCTGCGGTACGCTCCCTCTGTTACAGCATACACGTGTGGCGGCGCCTCGTGGCGCTTCTTGCCCCGGTACATTTCCACAATGGCCTCCGTGTAGATGGGCAACTGCTTGTATGGGTTGATGACCACGCAGAAAAGGCCAGAGTAGGTCTATGGCGGGCAGGAGGGGAGAGCGTGTCAGGTGGATGCCCACAGTGGAAGGGCAGAGCTGTGGTGGAGAGCTGGGTCAGGGTGTACATGCCCAGAGGAGCCCGTGCAAGGCTTAAGGTCTAACTACACTGAGACAATATAAAGGTGAATTTCCTTTTATTGATGTTTTGCTTATTTTTGTTTTAGTAAGGGTCTTACTCCATGGCCTTGGTTGAACTGAAAATTCACGAATTCTCCTGCCTCTGCCTCCTCAGGGCTGAGATTGTGAGTGTGTTTACTATGCCTGACTCTATGAGTGTGTGTGTGTGTGTGTGTGTGTGTGTGTGTGTTCATGTGTATGGGTGTTTTGCCTGGGTCTGTGCACCACATGCATGCAGGACCCACAGAGGCCAGTAGAGCACACGGGGTCTCTTGATTGCAGAGATGGCTGTGAGCTGCCCTCTGGAAGCTGGGAGATTGAAGAAGGGTCCTCTGCATGAGCAAATGCTCTTAGTCGCTAAGTCATCTCTCGCTAAGTCATCTCTGTAGCCCTGTTTGTGGTTGTTCATTGTTTGAGGCAAGTCTCACTCTCTAGTTCAGCCTGGAAAACTGCAGCAATCCTCCTGCCTCAGTCTCCCAAGTGATAAGATTACAGGAACGAGCCACTTGGCCAGCATGAATGTTGCTAACACTGCTAAGCTAACTGTAGTAGACTCACATCTTCCCAGATTGACCATGGAGGTCAGTGAGGCCAGTGGGTACCCTCAGGTCACAGGCCTCTGGCTCCTCTAATGGACTCATGGAAGGAACACACGTGGCCCTCTGGTGAAGCCTCAAGGCTACAAAAGGGTTAGTGGCAGCAACAGTGTACGTGTGTAATCTCGGCACTCGGGAGGCTGAAGCTCCGGGTGCCGGGTGCCGGGCCGCCTGAGCCTGAGGTCCAATGCATTCACAATATCATCAGGGACACTCAGCACCCACGGAGGTGGCTAGGCAGCCCAGAACTAGTCAGTCCCTTAGCTAAATCAGCCAGACAGCTAACTAGCCTAATTCGCTGGAGACAGCCCGCTGAACAAGCTGGAGAGCCACAGCTGCTTATTAGTTAGGCCAGTCAGGCAATTGCTGACTCTAGTGGGTACCCCTCCCGCCCGGCTGTGGCAGGGTGTGGCCACCAGGCAGCCTGGTGCCTCCTCTTCTCTTCATAGAAGAGGCGGGCAGCTGGCCACAAGCAGAAGAACCAGTCAGCCTAGTATCTATCTCCCAGGCTGCTCCCAGAGGTCTCAGGGTGGGGCGGCTGGACCACATTCCCTGGGAGGGTATCTCATGGCCGCTGGCGCCAGAGCCCACTCCCCATGCCAGCCCCTTGGGCCAGACACAGCTTGGGTAACACCCAGGACAGAAACCCGAGCTGGCTAGCAGGGCCAGGGAGAAATGGGAAGGCCTCAGTTCCTAGAGGGTCTATGGAAGGGTCTGGAAGGGCTGCCTTGCCTGGATGGTTCTAAAGACGGGCCTGCTCTGCTCCACCCTCCACGTCCCCACACAATTCAACAATATTCCCCTGTCTGGAAGAGGGTGACAGCCTGCCTCATTACAAAGGCCCTGGGATTAAGAGAGAATGAATCCAGCCAACCAAGGTGGCCCCACCTGCCTCTCCAAACAGTAGTCTGGGATGCTCAGGTTACAGACCCACCTGGAGCCAAAGCTGCCTGGGCTCTATCTGTCCAGGGCTGGGAGCCAGAGGCTGAGTTTCCAGCTGTGCGCACCTTCCAGGAAGGATGGACCCCCTTAAAGGCTCAGTGACAGCCAGACTTGGTAGCACAGGCCTACCATCACAGCTACTCTAGAGACTGAGGCAGGAGGATCAGAAGATAGCATAGGCAACCTAGTGAGAATTTGTCTCAAAGAAAAAAGATCTAAAGATGTGGCTCAGAAATAGAGCCCCTGCCTAGAATCCCCCAGTGAGGGGCTGGGGCGTGGCTCAGTGGTAGAGCCCCTGCCTAGAATCCCCCAGTGAGGGGCTGGGAGTGTGGCTCAGAAATAGAGCCCCTGCCTAGAATCCCCCAGTGAGGGGCTGGGAGTGTGGCTCAGTGGTAGAGCCCCTGCCTAGAGTCCTCCAGTGAGGGGCTGGAGGTAAAGCTCACCATGAGAAAGGCTGTGAGTTTGATCCCCAACACTGTAGGGAAATAGTCCTAAACATTCAACCCTGGATAATGGGACTTGCAGCCTCTTCCTAGAAAGGCTCTAACAGTGACACACTGTCCTGAGTCACATGGAGCACAGAGTCCCTTACATGGCCATTGACTCCACCCTGTCTCCTCCACCTCTATAGTCCCACTGAAGGGACCCATCCCCTTGCCAAGTCAAGGCCCCTGGGGACCTCCCCTGCTCTTGTCCCAGCTAGTCTGCAAACGCGTGTGGCGCACTGGCCATCGGACAGGAATGGAGCCTAAATCCTGGTGCTACCAAGTCCCTACTGGTTGGTCCTGAGCAAGCAACCCCTCTAGGAATCACTGTCTCATTGAGGAGACAAGGGTGCTTCCTCCTGGCACGGCTGAGAGCCTGTCAGTGGTTTACCGGGAACTCAGCCCCTATCTGCAACACTGTGTCTGTTCAGAATGATCACTATTATCCACTTGTATTAGGCCAAGCTGAGGGGAAAACCAGACTGGTCCCTACCTCACAGCCTGGTATGCATGGCTTCGGGCGAGGACAACAAGAATTCCTGGGGAGGTAACTCAGAACCGAGCCTAGCGGAGAGAGCTGTGTGTACCCACACTAATGGTTATTATCAGGGATGGACAGGCTTCCACAGATTCCTCGGTAGCCTGGGCCCGAGTCACTTAACATTCTGGAATGCCAGTGACATCAACAGTTCCCCGCAAAGAAGCCAGCCAATAACTCCACAACAGCACTCAGAACAGTGCCCAGCACAGCATAAGTACTTGATAAATATTTACCAGTCATTATTCTCAGAGGGTTTTTTTTTTTTCATTATAGCTGCAACATTCTTTGTTAAACTCTATAATCCTGTTTGCTCTCTTTTAAATGGAGTTAATCACACCTTAGCTGTCCATGAGACACACCCTGCAAGCTTATTTAAAAGAAGAAAAAAATCTATGTGCATGTCACCCCACCCCCACCCCAGCGTTGCATGTGGGTAGTGGCGTGAGGCAGTGAGTAGGCATTCTAGAGGCCTCCTCACATGATTCTAACGTGTAGCCAGGATGAGGAGCCACTTATGGTGCTGCACAGCTCCCCTGTGCAGGAGCCCTACCTTGTGCTACGCAGACATCAAAAATGGATCACAGAGCTTGGCAGACCACCTTAGTCAACCTGAAAACCATCAATCCCATCACACTGTTTTGCTTTATTCTGCTGTTTTGAAACAGGAGATCACTCTACAACCCAGCTGGCCTCAAAGTCAAGTGGTAAGACGGCTCAGCAAGTAAAGGTGCTTGCCGCAAAGCCTGATGACCTGAGTTTGAACTCCAAGACTCTTGTGATAGAAAACGGAAACCAATCCAGCGAGTGTGCTCTGACCTCCACATGTGTCCCCGCCCCCAAACAAATACATGTCATCGTTTTTTAAAGACCTCCTCTCCTCTCTCCTCTGGTTACATGATGGGTTTTATTTTTGTTTCTTTCTCTTGGTCTTTTAGTAAAATGGGTTAATAATGGCCACTGCCTTGCTGAACAAATTAAATAAACTAATAATGGGAGTTGTGTAGGCTCGGGGCTCATTAATTTTCACTCTTTATTATTACAGAATGATACAGGGTGACCCCATACAGGACACCCAGACAGGTGTTAGCAGGCTCCAATCATCCGATAGTGTACAAGCTGGGCCAGTCTTAGGGTTGCAAGCCTGACATTCCAGCTACTCTGAAGGATGGGGCAGCAGGAGCCCAGGTTAAAGGCTAACTTCAGTTACAAGGTCCCATCTCAAGGCAAAAAACCAGAACGCTGGCTGCGGAAGTGGCTCAGTGTTAGAGCCCCTGCCTAGAATCCCCCAGTGAGGGGCTGGGGGCGTGGCTCAGTGTTAGAGCACCTGTCTAACCTCCTAGTCCATAAAAAATAAAGCATTATAAATTTGCACCAGTTGGAGGGCCTTCACAGGACATGGGCGGATACTCTAGGCCACTCCTTGTTAATCCAGGTCGGGTTGGTGACACCTGGCGCCCCACCCAGGGAATGTCACTCACATAAATGAGCCCGGAGTAGTAGCGCTCTCGCAAGTTGTGCAGGACAGAGGCCTCATTGAGGCAGGTGAGCTCAGCCATGTCCTCTGCCTTGCTGAACTTGGGTGGGTTCATGCGCTGGATTTGGTCCCTGGGCAGCCGCAGGCGCCGCCCACTCTCCGCCAGCTCCACCTCTGCCTCCTCCTCCCCTTCATCGCGTAGGGCTGCAGCCTCGAATCCATGCAGTTCTGAGGGCACCCACACCAGGCGACGTGCTGTCCACTCCACCTGCGGCCCTCCAGGGCCGCCCACACTTGGTGTTCGCGGTGTGAACAGGAACGGTTGGGCCGCCTCAGGCACGGGGCCTGGCCTGGCAGCCACCTTCCTCCCAGGCACGGACAGGGTCACTGCAGCCATGGTCTGTGGGGAGAGAGTGGACACATCAGGTGGCTCTGTCTTTGGCCGTACTGGAGCTTAAACACCTCCTGCATGCTAGAAGCACGGCCACTGAGTCACACCCTCAGACCCCCCCCCTCTCTCGGTTTTGGTTTTTTGAGACAGGGTTTTACTGTGTAGCCCTGGCTGTCCTGTAGCCCTCTCACTGTAGACCAGGCTAGCCTCAAACTCAGAGACCTGCCTGCCTCTGCTTCGAGTGTTGGGATTAAAGGTGTGTGCCAACTACTGCCCCTCCACTTATTATTTTAAAACAGGTCTTGCTAAGTCACTCAGTCTAGCCTTGAATTTACAATCCCCTGCTTCAGTCTTAGAGTAGATGGGATGACAAGACTGTGTCCCCTGGACCACCTTTACTTTTTAAAAACAATTCATTTAAGTTGAATGCAAGGGCGCACGCCTTTAATCCCAGCGCCGGGGAGGCAGAGACAAGCAGATTTCTGAGTTTGAGGCCAGCATGGTCTATAAAGCAAGTTCCAGGACAGCCAGGGCTACAGAGAAACCCTGTCCCAAAAAACAAACAAACAAACGATAAATAAATTAATCCATTTATATGGGGCTGGAGAGACATCTCAGAAGTTGAGAGTGTGCATTGCTCTTCAGAGGGTCTGAGGTTGCTTTCCTGTGTGTCAGGGGTTCGCACCTGCCTGTGAGTCCCTCTCCAAAGCCCATGCCTCTAGCTGTTGAGGACTCACGCTTGCACACACACCACACACAGTAATATAAATAAATCTTCCTGTAAAAGATGTATTTTTATGGGCTGGAGAGATGGCTCGGTGGTTAAGATCACTAGCTGGTCTTCCAGAGGTCCTGAGTTCAGTTCCCAGCAACCACATAGTGGCTCACAGCCATCTGTAATGAGATCTGGCGCCCTCTTCTGGCATGAAGAGGTACATGCAGACAGAACAGTATATACATATGTATAGTGTGTGTGCTTGGGTGTGCTTGGGTGAGTTTGTATGTACCACATGTGTGCAAGTTCTCACGGAGGCCAGAGCATGGCATCAAGTCCCTGGAAGTGGAGTGATGGGATGCAGATGTTGAGAACCGAAGGGCAGTTCTCTGTGCATGCAATCAGTGCTACAAAACACCGAGCCACCTGTACACACCCCCCCCCCTTCAAAACAACAGGATTTATCTGTAGTGGGTGCTGGGAATTGCACAGAGGACCTCTCCAAGAGCAGCCAGCGCTCTTAACTGCGGAGCCACCAGCCAGTGCCTCCCTGCAAATGTGCTTACTATAAAATTTTAAAGACACACTTGGCTTACATTCTGTTTATATTGGATGGTACTGTTCTAATCTCAGGAGGCAGTTAAAAGTAAATTGTCACAAACATGTAAATGGTTTAAGCTGTGATAAATGGCTGTCAGAGGTGAGCAGGGGAAAGAGTAACGCTGGTGCCCAGACTGTGCTTACATTTTAACTGGACTGACTGGAGAAGGCGTTCCTAATGTATTGCTTTTTAAAACAGAGACCTGAGTGGGCCTAAGGAGGGATCTGTGATGAAGGGGCAAAAGCAAAGGCCCTGGGGCAGGAATGTGTCCACCGTCTGCAGCACTCCGCAGTGGCTGGGCAGCAAAGGCCACCGCCACGCTTTACACTCAGAGGGGGCCGGGTAGGGCACAGATCTGACGTTTGTCACCAAGCTTTCTGGGCACCTCTGGTCCCGCCTGCCCCATAACAACAGGAGGATCACCAATCCCCATCCCCTCTCTGGCTCCATCCACTCAATCCTTCTTACATTCACTGGACATTCTCAGAGGCCCTGGGGGCCCGCCTGCCTTTGAGCAGTTCTTAGGGTGTGGACCCAGCTGAGCTGGGATTCTTTACAGAGGCTTCCAGGACGCAGCTGGGGTGTCTGGGCACCTTCCCATCCTCCAGGACACTGACTCGGGAACACAGCAATTTCAGGGCTGCCCAACATCCCACAGAAAATGTCCCACACTGGTGTCCCCTGCAGGAAGCAGCCCCTACTGTCCCATCAAGCCGCCCCCCCACCCCCAATCAAAGGACACCTGAGGGCACCCACCTTCCTCTCTGCCGCTTCACCTCTGTGACCAGGCCACCTTCCCCTCCAGCACACCCCTTGGGGACGTCCCTCCAAGCACTCAGCTTGCTCCTCCCATATCTTGTCCCCCCAAGCATGCCCCAGGAACCTCTCTCATTGCAAACTTCCACTGTCCAGGGCCCCTCCTGGCCCTTCCCACACCCACAGCACCAACAGCCTGGTTCCCAGCCACTGTGGCCCCTGTGCTCTACAAATGGTGAGCCCCAAAGGGCCAAGGATCACCCCAGGCTCCAGTGTGGCAAAGATACACCCAGAGCCAAGCCCCATCTCAGGGACTTTACCCCACCCCACCCACCTGCTTCCTCTCCAGCCTGGTGGCCTTTGACCAGGAAGGGTTTGGTGGCTTTGTACCTCCCCGCCCCATTACTCCCCCCAAGAGCGAGAAGAGCAGCCTCCATCCATCGCTTCTGACCCAGAGTCCAGGCCCAGGACCCCGGGTCTCCAGCCCTGTCTCCACTGGACACAGGCATCATCTAGAGCCTGACTGCAGCCAGGGTTAGACGTGGGGAGGACCTGGCCCCAAAAGCTGAGCCCCAGCCACACACCCCTCCCTTAGGCAGCAGGAATGTGCTGCCAGGACTCATTAGTGTCACTTAGGCAGGTGAGAGCACTTGGGAGGGGCGGACAGAGCTGTGCAGAAGGAAAGCAGCCAGGGCCCCGCCCGCCTGGGCAGGGGCTGGGACGGTACCAAGCCTATGACCTCAGCCTATGGGTCCAGCTTTCTCCCTCAGACCCAGGGGTCCTGATCCCAGCCTCCTACCCCAGCTGAGGGGCCCTGATCCCAGCCTCCTCTCTCAGGCCTAGGGGTCTTGACCCCCACCTCGCCTCCCTCAGACCCAGGGGTCCAGGCCCCAGCCTCCTCCCTCAGACCCAGGGATCCAGGCCCCAGCCTCCTCCTTCAGGTCCAGGGTTTCTGATCCCAGCTCTCCTCCCTCAGACCCAGGAGTACAGACCTCAGCCCTCCTCCTTGAGACACTGGGGTCCACGCTCAGCTTCCTCCTTCTGATTGGGGTACACGGCCGTGTACCTCCGGAAGCCCAGATGGATCCTAACCCTCTCTCCTCCTAACCAAGCGCCCCGTGGCCTGCCTCCTGTATCCTGTGGACCCCGAGGCTACCTGGGCACCCGGTGGTGGAGAGATGGGGAGGGCTTGGAGTCCAGATCCTTTCCAGCACTCAGGTGAGGCCGGCTCTGCGGTCCAGCAAGGGGCGGGGCCTCTCGCGTCAGGAGGCGGGACCGGTCTCTGACATCACCCGACACCTGCCGGGCTGGGTGAGGGGGCGGAGCCTGGCGCCGCAGCCAGCAGAGGAAGAACCTGTTGCCAGGTGGACCGTGCTGGACAAAGGTGAAGGTCTGGCGCAGAGTCGGACTGCGCACGCCTAGGGTTCAAATCCCTCCCCAGATTTCTGGACCTCTGCATTCCTCGCTAGGAATTGAGGCTCATGAAATCAATAAAAATCATATGAAAAAAGGGACCTAGATTGGTGCTTTATCATTTCTTTTATCTCTGAACCTCAGTTTCCCCAACCCTGGAAGTGGGGCACCCCAATCCTCAGGTACAATGTCAAAATGCTACGTCAAAAGCTATGTCAGCGTCGTGAGCTTGGGTTTCTTCAAGGTGAACTGAAGAGGAGACATGGGGTGGGCGTGTCTGCCATAAGCTTATGGTTTTCCCTTTAGATGTTAAAGAGTTCTGACTTACAGAACAATTTGTTTTTCCTTTCTTTCTTTTTCTTTTTTTCTGATACAAGGTCTTCATGCAGCCTAGGATGGCCTGGAACTCATGGTGTAGCTAAGGCTGGTCTTGAACTACTGATTACTACTGTGGTGTTATTAAAAGCGGGGACACATGGCCAGGTACACCAGGCCCCTCCAACCACCCACCACAGTACACCTCTCCTTCCCAGTGAAATGGGAACCACAGAAACCACCTCAAATCTATTTTCTACGGAAGAGGATTTTAGTTGCAAAGTGCCCAAGTCCGTTGTGAGGATACAACTTAGCTATGTTTGGCGGAGCACTTCAGTCATCTCAGCACTAGAGAGGCTCAGGCAGGAAGGAAGGTTAGGAGTTGGTCTACACTGTGAGTTCAAGGCTAGCTCGACCACAGAGTGAAAAGCTGCCTCAAATAAATAAATAAATAAAAATAAAATTAACTGAGCCAAGTCAAAACAAAACAAAGTGAGACTCCAGACAAATACATCCTTCCCGGTCCCTCCTGTCTGTCGCGACTCCTCTCTCTGGCTCACAGCCTCTGCCTATTAACACAGGAGCAGGGGACTGGAGACCATGCATGACTCAGGTGTTCTATCACACAACGTCCCAAACACTGCCTCAGTTTCCTCTTCTGCGGAACAGACCCGGCGACGCCTTCAGAGGGGATCGCAGGCTTTCTGGCACGCGGAGAGACCCGGGGCAGGGTGACTGCACCCCCCACACCCCTGCTCAACTCCGGGCTGGCTTGCACCCACTGTGAGTGTCCCGGCCCGGCCCCTCCCCATGGCCCCCATCACCTCCCACAGGCTCCGGCCTCCCCTGGCCTGGCCGCCCCTGGAACCCCCCACCCCGCCCCGTACGCACTGCGGGGGGCCCGACGCTCACCGGCACCCAGGGCGGTCTAGAGGCCTCGGCCTGGGCAGCCACGGGGAGGGGCCTGCATTGGACGGTCCCGCCCACAGGTGGGCATCATGGACCAATCAGAGCTCGCTGCGGCCCGTCCCGACCCCCGCCCCTGGGGCTCAGCGCTGCCCAATCAAAAAGAGCGGCTGGTGCGCCGCGCCAATCAGAAGTTGGCGAAGCGTGCCAGGCGTGGGAAAAGAACCTGGCCGGGAGTGCGCGGCCGTTGGCGGGGCCCGGGTCTGATGGCCAGCGGGAGGCACCAATAAAGAGGCTTGGGGAGCGGCCGGGAGCCGCTGGCTGACGGGGACTCGGTGAATGGGCCGCTTTGTACACAGGCATGAATGGATGCTTTTGTGCGTGCACGTACAGGGCGGCCGGAGGCTGGAATGCCTGGGTCCCCCGGGAGCCGGGAGCCGGCGCGCGGACACACACCGAGGAGATGTCGCTTTTGTGGAACGTAGACCGTGAGCAGGCCCTGTGCAGGTGCTCACAGCTGGGTAAAGCGTTTCCACCATATAATGTCACTGAAGACTTTAAATCGGGGGCATTGAGACCCTTATTTGGGGGCTGGGATCGAAACACAATCAGTGAAAGTTTTGTCTAGCATGCACGAAACCCTGGGCTCCATCCCAGCAGCATGGAAACCCAGGCATGGTGGAACCTGACAGCTAGTCACCTCAGCCCTCATGAGCTGGAGGCTGGGGAATCAGGAGTTCAAGATCATCCTCCAGCTACACAAAGGGTTCTAGGCCAGCCTAGGTTACAGGAGACCCTATTCTAGAAAACAAAACCAAAACGCCAGCCTTATCTTGAGCATAACACCTATCATTCCAGCATCTGGGGCCATGGGTTACTTAGTGCCATCCTGTCTCTAAGTACAAAAATAGCAAAGTCCCCAAGGCTCTGGCCGTACACCCACACCCCGCCTTGTCTCCCAGCTGCTTAGCCCCTGTGGTCCCTAAGCACTCGGTCCTAATTCAACCTCTTCCTCCCAAGTTTGTTGTGTCCTGGTACTTTTTAAGACGTGTACTTTAGTGCGTATGGGTGTTTTACCGCATATATGCACGTACATATGCACATGCATTGTTGTAGGAGGACACAAGGGGATGGCAAATCCCCCGGAACTGGAACTGGAGTTACACATGACTGCAAACTGCCCCGTGCGTGCTAGGAACTGACCCACGGTCCTCTGCTCTTAACCACTGAGCCACTGCCACCGGCTCCTTTGTTTCTGGGTCCTGGCTATCCTGGCACTGTGTTGCTCATTTGGAAATGACAACCCAGGCTCCTGTAGCCAACCTACCTGCCAACTAGAGATGTCATCAGCCTGCTCAAGGTAAAATCTGCCTAGCAAGCAGTAATGTCCCCTTTACTAATACCTGAGGTGATTTTAGTTCTGCTTGCTCAGACTAAGGGGAGATTGGACTGGGCTATGCATCAGAGGGTGACCTTGAACTTCTTACCCCCCCCTTCAGCGCTTCCTTTTGCTGGGGTTTCCTTTGATCTGTAAGCCCATACCACTTAAATGCCTGCTAATATTTAGTGAGAACTCACAGTTCTAGGCATTTATTTACATTAAGTCCCTCGACATGAACCCCACCAGCTATCATGCCCATTTTACAGGTGTGGGCACAGAGATCCAGCTGCCTCAGTGAGATCACTTCCTGTCTCCACTGCACCACCAGAGACAAGGCAAGACGAAGAATGAAGTCCAAAGGAAGCATGCCCTTGGCTCTAAGCTCTCCACCCATCCTCCATCACATCAGCTACCTGTCTCCTTGGAGATCTTGACACATACCATCTGCAGAGTGCTCCCCATCATTGTGAGCCCCTGGCTGCTGCGACTGGTCTTCTCCTTCTGAAGGTACCTGCTTCAGAGTTCCTTTTTTTCTTTCTCTTTCTCTGTGTAGCTCTATAGATCAGGCTGGCCTCGAATTCACAGAGATCCGCCTGCCTCTGCCTCCAAAGTGCTGGGAGTAAAGGTGTGCGCCACCATTACCCAGCTGTCTCAGGGTTTCTATGGTTGTGAGAGACACCATGACGTCGGTGGCAACTCTTAGAAAGGAAAACATTCCATTGGGCTTACATTTTCAAAGGTTCAGCCCATTATCATCCCCGCAGGAAGCATGGCAGCATGTGGGCAGACATGGTTCTGGAGAAGGAGCTGAGAGCTGTAGAGATCCACAGGCAGCAGAAAGGAACATTAACACACTAGGCCCGGCTTGAGCTTCAGACACCTCAAAACCCACCCACCAGTGACACACTTCCTCCAACAAGCCACACCAGCTCCCTGTGCTGCTCCTGATGGGTCTTTGGGGGCCATGACAGTCCCCATGGGCAGATAAGTTGCAACAGAGAAGGAAATCAGTGGTAAAGGCAGATGGAACACCCAAATATGTGTGTCCAGAGAGGAGCAGGTAGGACATGGAAGCTTCCTGAATCCCAGCTCTCAGTATGACCTGAGCCCACAGAACTTGAGCAAAAAGGCTGGAAGGTGTGGGGGAAAACAAGGAAGGAGCTAAGATAATGCACAATAATGAAAGGTTTTGTCTGGGGCTGAAGCTCAGTTGGTAGAGCGCTTGCCCAGCATGCACAAAGCCCTGGGCTCAGTCCCCAGCATCACATAAACCTGGTGATTCCAGCACATGGGAGGTGGAGGCAGAAGGACCCCAGTCAGAATGGCCATCATCAAGTGTACTACTAATAATATAACCCAGTGACAGATATTGGGGTTCACGCTGAAGATCAGAAAAGCAAAGCAGCCAGCCACCGGAGAGCTCTTACCTTTACTAAGGCTGGGGCAAGCCTATCCTCAACGTGTCTGGAGACTAATTGCCCTGCGACTGAAGGGTGAATCCTGGACGAGACCCTGAGCTCCTTCTTATATACCTCTCTAGTGCTGGGATTAAAGGTGTGAGCTCTGTTTCTCTTTTAGACGGATTCACTCTCATGTAGCCCTGGGTGGCCTTGAACTCACAGAGATCCATCTGCCTCTGTATCCAGAGTCCTGAATTAAAGGTGTGTACCACCATTGCCTGGCCTCTATGGCTGTGGCTAGCTTTGCATTCTGACCTCCAGGCAAGCTTTATTAGATCACAAACGCTATATCACCACAATCAAGAAAACAAACACCAGGCCAGCAAGATGATTTATCGGGGGAAAGTACTTGCCACCAAGTCCCATAAGCTAGGTTCAACCCCTAGCCCACATCAGGAGGCAAAAGCTGGAGAGGACCACCACAAGTAAGACTAGCTTGGTCTACACAGTGAGTTCTGGGCCAGATAGGGCTACACACTGAAACCATATCAGAAAAACAAGTTAGGATGAGAGATGGTCACAAGGTAAAGGCACTCGCCACCAAACCTGACAACCTGAATTCCATTCCTGGGACCCAGAAGGTGGAAAGAGAGAGGAACCCTCCTGCCCTTATACACACTGTCCTCTGACCTCTACAATATGATATGGCAACATTCCCCCTCACTGGTGCACACACAGACATGAGGCAGAGTGTGATAATGAGGGTATGGTGGGAATACTCCGTTGGGAAAGGTGCCTG